ATTAGTTTATTTGTTTTTTCATCAGATGCATCTTTTCCATAATATTTTTTATGTATTTCTTTTTGAACTGGTGAAAGCATATTCTCACTAACACTCATAATTTCTGGTGCTAATGGATAATCTCTATGTAAATCATGTAATTCTTTTGGGTATTCTAAATCAACTTCTAAAATATAGCCTTTGTCATCATCATCGCTATAACTTAATACTTTCTTCTCATCCATCCTTGAAAAATACCAATTGAAATTATCAAACGGTAGTTTTTTACTCATAGCCAGACCATACAAGTTATTAGCATCTAAATAACTTATATAACTTGATGGTTTTGACAAGTCATATTGTTCATTCATGTATTTATTATTTGCTTCTACTTTTTTATGAGCACATTGAGTCATCCCGCCACGAAGACCTTTTTCAATCATTTCATACATGTCTTTATTATGTATTTGTTGAAGTCTAACACCAGTAAGAGATAAGAAGGCAGACCACGAATAATTAGGTAATGTTATGTAATGAGCAGGGTCTAAACCATAATAATTTAAGCACATATCCCTAAAGTTTTCAAAAACATCACTAAGCAAATAAACATCTGTCATCAAATATAAATCATGGTATTCACCTAGGTTTTTGATATTGAAATTATCCCATATTACTTTTGCCCTTGTGTGTTGTGTATCTGTTATACCTTCTTCATATAATTTACTGTAAAAGTCTTCTATATTCGGTAATTGCGATTCATTGAATTTATCAAATGAATTCATGTAGTCGTAAGGATAAACTCCTTTTTCAGTTAATAAGTCTAAATCGGTTTTATTTCTAATATATGGATTTGCTGATGAAAATCGGAAATTATCCTTCCAGTCATTCCGCTTTTTATATATAGGTTTATCATGTTCATCTTTACCTACTATGTCATATTTATTTAACTTAACTAATTTATCCAAAGATGCTGAGAGAAAAGCCATGCTATCTTTAAACTGTAATGAACCAAATGAAAATGTAATAAACTTTTCGCTATTTTGTGCTATTACATCTATTCTCTTATTTTCGTTCAATTCCTTATTTATTTCATTTGCTTTGCCTATTATTAAGTGAGAGTCATAGTTTTTTAAATTATGAAAAAATACTGGTATCTTGAAATATCTAAATGAATAATCCAAATTACATTTTTCGTGAGCACAACCTCTATAAATACCGGTAAAATGACAGTGGTCTCTGACTTTTGTATCTTCTGGTTTAAAATTCTTATTACATATTGAACATACAGTAGCTTTTCTAAATTCTGCTTCTTGTTCATCTGTAATATCCATTGGTTTATTAACATTCATTTTATCAAAAATATCTTTTTTAATTTCTCTTAATTTATTTACAAAGTGGTCTAAACAATCCTCTCCACGGTATAAAAAAGGTTGACTTGTATTATCAATAGAATTTACAACATTCAACATATAACCGCATGGTTTATGTTCCTGATACGTGCCCTTGATGCCATTATTTGAATTTACAGTTATACACTCAAAATCTCCATAAACAACAAATGGACATTTTAATTTTGTATTGTATTTTTCAAATTCAATATAACTACCTTCTTTTGGTAATTTAAACTGTTGTCCATGTGTTGCCATACAACCAGTTTCATAATGTTTTGTTAATAAATCCTTTCTAGTAAAGGCATGAGAACAATAATGACAATAATGTTTTGGTTGGTCATTTTTGTTTGTTTGCCAGTTCATTAAACGACTTAGACTTTTAATAACTACATAATGATTATTATTATTGATTTCAATTTTCAAAAGGTTTATTTGATGTTTAGCATCTCTTGTTTTAGTTCTGTAATCAATTATAATTTTCTTTTCATTCAAAGTATCATCAATTTCATAAACATTGATTGAAACTAACTTACTATTATTTTCTTCAAACCTTTCAATATCTTTATTACCAGTTGGAAATTTAACACCTTCCCAGTTTAAGATATTGTCATTTAATTTGTTGTAATGGAACATTTCTTGGGAATTTGATTTATTAATTATATCAAACACTACACTTTGAACACTATATTTAAAACATTTGTTATCTTTGTTTTTGATATTAATACATGCCTTTTTTAGTTTAATCCATTCTGGTAAATCTATATAACTACCCGCCCTAGTTGGGTCATATTTGTCATAATGGATTGTTATTGATAATATCTTTATAAATTTTAAATTAGATGCTGAACCTTCTAACTTTTCTATGTTCAATAAAATCTCTTTGATTGATTTTTCAATTGCTTCATCCAAATCGGTTTCATTATAAATGTTTGACCTTGTAGCAGGTAAATTATAAAGTATCTCTGTATGTTTTATTACTCCATCATCATCATAATAATGATAAAATAAACCTTCTGCCCTTATATTCAGTTTCATAGCTCTATTAGTTTTCAAAAAGGTTAAAAGTCTATCTTTTTGGTGGTGTATCATTGATAGTGCCTTTTCACCTTGAAAATGTTTATTTACTAGTTTTATAGAATTAGCATAACTTTTGAAAGCTGATTGTTGGTCTGTTACTTGGAATTTATTTTTGATTGCATATTTTGTCATTGCATTTTTCATTCTTTGTTTTAGGTATGTTGAGCGCAATGTTTTTGTTGCATAACTATTATACTCATTAGTTCTTGCTTCTGATTTTAATTTCTTGTTCAAAACATTCGAGATAGGTTTTTCTTTGTTGTATCTAAATTTTCTACCATCTATAATTATTGATTTTAATTCCTTGGTTCCTCTTTTTGGAATTTCCGCTTTATCATTATTCAACAGATAATCTATAACATGTTTCATAATACTATACTATATAAATTTAATGTGTTTATTTCTTTAAGTGACTTTTTAGAAAATATACTTAAAGATTTAAAACCTTAATATAATAAGAGGAAAATGAACGGTGATAAAATCAATAATTATATCAATAAAAAATGCTATGATTGTTGTCACTTCAAAAAAGAAAATATGGAATTGTATAAATTAAATTTACCTAATGAAATAGTGAATAATATTATTAATTATTCAATGGATGAAAAAGTCGAATGTGAAAATTGTAAAACTTGGAGAGATAATCAATTTTTAATCAAATGTCTGTTGGGAATAAAAAGAATAAATAATAGAAATGTAGAAGATGAGATTTTAATATTTCTAACTGTAAATAAAATACCACCTTATGATTATGTTAAACAGTTTCTTAAAATCAGTAAGAAAAAATATGAAATGATTTATGATATATTATGGATGTTGGGATATAGTCAAGAGAAAGGAGAAGATGTTAAAGAAAATATCAAATTATTTATTGAAAGTAAAAAGTTTAATATTCAAAATACATTGAGAGATATTAATATTATTTTTAAAATGATGTATGAAAGAAGAAAGATTTGTCAATTAAATTATTATCCTGTACTGAAATTATAATCATAATATAATAACAACATGTAAAATCTTATATGTTATAATTATACTGTACTTATAGTTTGTAAAGATTGAAATATTTTATTTTTTCTTGATTTGCTTGTCTCTTTCTTAGTCGTGGAAACGCCTTTAAAGAAATACGGTAGTTCTATGATAAGGATGGAAGCAGTGAAAAAGTGTTCAAAGTGTAAAAATGATAAGTCTAAGGAAAGTTTCAGTGGTGATAATATGCGATGTGATAAGTGTTTAAAAGCTCAAAGAGACTATCAAAATAGACATAGGGAGAGAATGAACGAGGAACAAAGAATTAGATATGAAAACGATGAGGAGTATAGAAAAAAGAAACTGGAAAGGACTTATAGGAGAAATAAATATATTGTTAGTTGTGATGTTTGCAATTGTTCAATAAGTCAAGGGCATTTTGGAAGACATCTTAAAACAACAAAGCATCAACATAATTTAGGAAAGATACAAGCTGAGGAACAATGATTGGTAAATTAGATAAGGTTAATAGATGATAATGATGTATTAACCTTATGTAATATTGAGGGGTTTTATTGTAAATGAATAAGGTAATTTATTATAATGTGTCTATACTTGTTCAAAATAATTTTCAGGCTAGAAGTGCCATTTTATGTATTTTTTCCCCCGCCCCCGCCCCCCCGCCCCCGCCCCCGCCCCCGCCCCCGCCCCCGCCGCCACCGCCCCGCCCCACCGCACCGCCCCGCCCCGCCGCCACCGCCCCGCCCCCCACGGCCCCGGCCCGCCCCGCCACCCCCACCACCGCCCCGCCCCGACCACCACCGCCCGCCACGCACCACCGCCCCGCCGCCACCACCGCCCCGCCCCGCTCACCACCGCCCCGCCCCGCCACCACCGCCCGCCCGCCCCCCCCCCACCCCCCCCCACCCCCCCCCCCCGCCCCCCCGCCCCCCCCCCGCCCCCCGACCCCGCCGCCGCCCACCCGCCGCCCCCCGCCCCGCCCGCCACACCCCGCCCCCGCCCGCCCCCGCCCCGCCCCGCCCCGCCCGCCCCGCCACCCGCCCCCGCCCCCCCGCCCCCGCCTCCCGCCACCGCCCCCGCCCCCCCAGCCCCGCCCCCGGCCCGCCCCGGCCGCCACGGCCGCCCCGGCCCGCCCCGGCCCGCCCGGCCCGCCCGGCCGCCCCGGCCCGCCCCGCCGCCCGGCCCCGGCCCCGCGCACGGCCCGACCCGCCGGCCCGGCCCGGCCCGGCCCAGCCCGGCCCGCCCCGTCCCCCGCCCAGCCCGCCGCAGCACGCACGCACGCACGCACGACGCACGCACGCACGCAGCACGCACGCACGCACCCACGCACCCACGCACCCACGCACCCACGCCCCCACGCACCCACGCACCCACGCAACCCACACACCACACACACACACACACACACACACACACACACACACACACACACACACACACACACACACACACACCACACACACACACACACACACACACACACGCAGAGGGCGCGGCCGTTCAAGATGGCCTCTTTGGGGGACCTTTGCGCCCGAACTGCGAAGCGAGTGACTCGTCTGCCAGGTTCCCAGGAGATTCAGCTAGCCGAGATCACTGAGGCGTACTACAAGGCTGGAGCAAGCATCGACCTGTTCACAGAATGAAGAGGTGCATCTGAGGCTTGCTGATCTGAAAGAAGTCACAGCTACCAATGGCAGACCACAGCTTCTACTTTGCCCAAAGCTTGCAGGATTTTGGGGGGTGATATGCGCAAGGTTCGGAACTATGAGCCAAATTCTTCCACCGCAGCCCACTAAAGTACACGTGATCTATCTATTTGCACGTTTGCACGTATGTACATATATGTACGCAACACCCCAGCTTTTTTGTCTCGTTGCTTCACAGACAACATTGCTCAGGCATTGGTTCTGCCCAAATTGGGAGCGGGCTTCAGAACCCGCCCCCTACCCGACAGCTCACAGGCAAAGCGCAAAGACGGAAAGACCGGGCGGAGCAAAGCGCCGAAGCAGTGCCGGGTGCTGTCGCCCTGCTCGGGGCCAAGGCGCGAGAGGCTGCTTGTCACTTCCAAGGGACTGCCAAAGAGCAGGGTGAGGAACATCGAATCTCCTGAACATTTGTCTCTTGACGCCTCCCTGCGAATGCCTGGCTTTGCGCTTTTCAGGAAAGGTTGTGGCGTGCAAGACAATAGCAAGTCAATGCGAGTATGCGGCTTCAGGGCTAACTTCCTCTCTGTATGGATCGGAAGTGCGTCATTGCTGATTTGCAACCGGATCAAAGCGTCACCAAGCAAGCTGCTTATGACCGTGGTTGCCTTTCCCTCGTCTCATGATCACAATGGTGAGCGCATTTGTAATATAATTAAACCATTCATTTCCACGGAGGCCACTCGGCAACATCCGAGGCTTGTTGTCATGGGGGAGCTCACGATTACGGCCCTCTACCCCTATCCCCGGTGTCTCCGTAAACGGAGACCGAAATGGTTTCAATACCAGTTGTACCTCTGGAAAAGGGGAACTCCCAAAATGGTGTTGTTTCTCTCCGGTTCCTTTGACAAAGAAACCCGCAAACGCGCACCGACGGAGCCTGAGATCTGGGTAAGGTGTCACTCGGACTGAGGCCCTGAGGAGGGCACTGTGACGGTGCAGTTCCTGGAGAACGGAGTGCGGCAGACCATCCCGGAGGAGCGAACGCTGCGAACGCCGAGTTCCGTTCCTTGGGTGGAAGCACACCCAAGGGCGGTTGCGAAAAATCACGTTCTAACCCCTGAGTTGCTGCAGGAAATTCACAATGTTGATACACATTGTTTCGAGGATGGCCATGACAGCCGCATGTCAGACAGTGTCTCAAGTGTGCTGATCCCAAATGCACCAGCGAGCGCGACTTGGCACAGTTTCTTGCATGAGGCTTCGCCTTAGATGCCTTGAGCTTGCTTGTGGTTGAGGCACCAAAAAAGACGCTGGTGTTTGTTAGCCACAATCGCATCGCTGCGGATGTGAACGTTGCGAGAGGGCGAGGAACAGCCAGGCATGGAGTTTGGATGAATTCCAACGGCCCAGCCATGGGTCAAAGAGCCCTCATGATAAGCTCACGCTTGTTTCAGAGACAGCTGATTGAGTGCAACTTACTGTTGTTTGAAGAGGCATTTGGTTTTGTAGAGACTACCTAGATGGCCGTCATCGCTGCACAACAATTTCAGCCAAGGCTTAGGCTGTCAATAGCATCTTCTTCATGGTTGGGAACCATTTTACATGTTTGCTTATTGTGGTTTAGAGTGAAATCCCCACTTAACTGCTAAAAATTAAATTGTTGCTCCCCTTGATCTTCTTGACTGCTATGGAAAACACCCCAATATAGCATTTTGAGACTAGCTGGTTTGGGGCTGACATCTGACGTACACGTGCGAACCATCCTTGCATGCTACAGTTGTAGTATCCCACGGAGGACTGGCTGAAGACTGACGCAGGCGCGTTGTGCCCGAGCTGTTTTTTGTTTCTTAAAACAAAACTGTGTTTTTTTTTTAATGAAGTGTGAGGCTGTCAATGCGTGAGTTAACAGCTGTGGTGGCTTGTATCATACTTATTTCAGTCCTTTGCCTGGAGATTCCTCGTTTCCGCGATCGACTCATGTGGGGGGTGTTCAAAACGGGGTGACCCCCATTTTGAAAAAGGTCAGCTTGATGGGCGCCGGTGTCCGGAGACAGCCAAGATTGGTTGGACCGTTTTGTGAAGAACGCCTCACTTGTCCTTTTCAACCAACCCTGTCCTCTGAGAGATCGCATGGGAAGGTCCAGCTGCTCAGGAGACGGACGGGCTGACTGGAGGGGTGGTGGTCAGGCATGCTGAGGTCGAATGGTCGGTTTTCTAGATGTCCCTAATCCAGTGAGCCCTTGTGGGCGTGTCTTCTTTGAGGGAGGTTCCTATTAAAACCACAAGAAAGGGGACCCAGAAAAGGCACGCCCGTGTTGGTTCTTTGGTTCCCCAAGGGTTTGTTCCAGACTCGCTCGGTCGTTTTCCTTTTCCCTGTACACCAACCTGAGAAGGGTACCTTCAGCAAAGCGCGCATCCAAAAGGAAATGGCATCCCATTCGCAACAAGTCGGGTGGCCTTTGCAAAGCTCCATGGAAGATTTGAGGAAATGGCACCGCTTGCCAGTCGGGGCCAGGGCCAAGACAAGGTCACGAAGGTGCCTGGGGCGTAAGGTTACGGAGGACCACACTCGCAGCGGCACCAGCCTTTAGTAACAGTCCCTGCTTCAAGCCCGAGGTTTTGATCTGGAGTTGACCTGCAAAAAACGCGTCACGCACGCCAACGCACGCCAACGCACAAATTTCAGCGCGCCAACAAAACGCATCACGCGCCGGATGCGCTGGAAGGAGCCCAGCGTGAAGCGGCAGCGGGGACTGCTGGGCCTGGCTCTCTTGGCTTGCCAGCAGGGCATGATACAGGTGGGAGGGTGCAGCGGGAGTCGGTTTGGGGGGGGGCGCTGGGTTTCTTGTCTTGGAGGTTGTGGGAGCCTTGGTGTTTTGGGCGATTTCTGGGAGGGCTTGGGGGGGTGCTTAGTTGTGTTTGTGTGATCCTTCATGGTAGTTTGTTTGTTCGGATTGGAGGGTCAGAGGATGCTCGCGGCGTCCTCACGCGTAGAGTCATTTCCAAGCTGAACAATTGCTGGCCATTTCGGTCTGATGCCAACTGCCATGGCGTCGCTCGTTTTCACCTCTTTTCGGTCTTAAAGTTGGGAGGAGGTGCGGCATTCAAAAACTTTCCGCTAGGGCTGCTACCAGCTGATGATGGAAGTCCTCCAGCTGGGCCAAGGCGACTTGGGGTTCCCTGCCCGGGCGTTTTTGTTTTTTTTTGTCTTCCTGGAGGGCGCCATATTTTCACCTTACCTCGCAACCCAAGCAACCGCCATCTTTTTGGGTCCCCTACCTTTGCCACCAAGCCGCACTCTTGCGCTGATGTTTGAAGCGACATATTATGTTGCTTCAAACATCAGCGCAAGAGGAAATTGTGAGGCAGTAAGATGACGCGCGCAGGCGTATTTTGGGATTCGGCTTTGCCCGAACAGTGGGTGTCTAGATCAACCACTATAAGGCGCACCACCCTGCTTCTGCTGCTGAACACCCCCCCAAGACATCCCAGAAGCGAACAACACTTTGAAACACTGTGTTTTAGCGGCTTGTGCAGGGGCCTTGGGGCTTTCGGCCTTTTTTGCGGGTTCCGGGATCCCTTTTTGGGGGCTGAAGACACCCAGCCGTCAGTCAAGAAGCCAGCAAAGCAGTCGGCATGCGCAGAAGCTTATGATTTGGGAGGCGTGCGCGGTGCTAAACTGATCGGGTGCGCTCGTCGTTGGCGGGCGTTGTGTGCAGTGCTGAGCACCTACCGCCTAGGTGTGCTTATCATGTGACAGGCGCTGAGCGGTTTATGAAGACAAGCCCCTGGGCCAAGCAATCCACTCTGGCGGTTGAAACCGGGTCGTGCGCTGGCCAGCAGCGTGGCATTTACGCAAACTGTAAGGGGCGCCAACCCGAGTTGGGGGGCTCTTGGGGATTCCCTGCCAACTTTGCGAATCCTAGACCATACCTGTTTTTGATCGGACATTGAATCACGCGAAGAGTTTGTGAGTAGCAAGGTGTCAGAACTATCTCCCAAACTGTAAATGACAGTTGAGTATTTGTGAAGCATAGGTGGTGTTTGGACTGGTCTCCCAAACTGTGACGGTTCGTTAGGGAAAAGGTCAGCTTGCGTTTGGAGTTGCCAGCCCCTGGCTCTGCGGAGTAGGGAAAGTGTTTGCGGTTCGCTGGTGACCCATTTGCCGGTGGTCGTGTTTCGTGCTTGGGTTGGTAGTATGGTGGTTGGGGGATGCTTGTCGTTTGCATTTCGCCTGGCATTCTACTAATTGGTTGGACCGCAGTAACAGCAGAAGGAAATAAGTTGAGTGCTGGGAAGTGGGCAACTCCTGTTCTTTGGGGCTCGCCCATTATGTTTTCCTTGGTTCATTGGCCTCAATAGTTTGATCTTGCATATCTTGCATGTGCTGTTTACATGCGGGTAGAGGTGACCATCGGCCCCCGAATGCTGAAAGGGTTTCAATAATACAACGGTTCTGTAGGGGGTCTGGCAAATATGTGGATCATTGCACATGTACACATACGTGTTCTATATATATATATGTAATATATCACATTATGTTGTATCAAATTATATTATGGTTTCTTATATTATGTTATGTTAAATTCAACTCTATGTACAAGAGTAGGTAGGTGTGCGCGCATGTGCACATATATATATATATATTAATACTACATTGAGCGTGTGGCCATTCCCAGCCAGCGAGCGCTTGAGACATCCTGGCGCGCTCCAAAGAATCCGAGCGGGCGGCCTTGGCTCAGCAGTGGCCTGGATGCATCCAGATTCTTCAATCAAATGATTCTGGTCGACTTGAAGCCAGTCTTGTAGTCTTCTGGTTGTCACAGGTAGAATTCCTTCAAGAATCCGAGGCAGTTGGGCAGGTTCGGTGCCCGGCATAGGCTTGTTGTTTCTGCCGAATGTGCCATCACAAAACTGCATACAAAGCGTTCAACGGCAAAAAGGATGCAGAGATCTGGGATATGCGAAATGGACATCGGAGAGGGCCGCCACATAGAAGGTGGCACACGGGCTGAGATGGGAAATTATCAGTTTGCTGCTGCTATTTCGTACATCCCCAAATGGTCATATTTCGATTCTTGTCTTTGTGCTGGCCAATCCCACCATGTAAGCAGCTGCTCACTTTATACTCACTATCCTGTCAGCCAGTCACTGCAGTCAGTGTGAGCCTGAACGTGCAGGCATTGATTTTGCAAGTTTGAAGATTGGCCCCCAGTGTGAGGCTCAAGGCTTCCAATTTTGAGGGGACACTGACTGACTTTCGCTGCTGCCTCAGGCTACCGGACGCCTGGCAGAGGGAGCATGACATCCAAGCACGGGTGGAGTCAGCGGAGCTGTGAGAAAATCCGCGGGTTGGGGGTGAGGTTTGCGCTTGCCTAGATCGTGTCACAGCTGCTTTCTGCCGGGAAGTCGTTCGCAAGGACTTTTGCAGTGATCGCAGTCGTGCATCGCCAAGTTGTGCGCAGTCAGCTTCTGAACCTTCATGGCTGCTGGGACCATTTTTGGCAGGCCGGCATGATGACTCGGCTTTTGTTTGTTTGGAGCTTGCCTTGTTTGGAGCTGGATAAAACCTGGATCTGGATCAAATACCATAATTTTGCCTCGACCCGCGCGTTGGGCTGCCAGCTAGGGGCAGAGGCCGCGGGCACCCGCGGCTAGGCTTCGCGGCTGGCCGGCCGGCGGCCCAAAGGCTGGCTTGGCTCCAATGGGAAGGTTTCTTGGGCAAAGCCGCATGGAGGATCCCTGCTGAAATGTCGAATCAATCCTTTGCGCGCGTCAGGGCTCGTGGGTTAGACGCCACCTCGAGGCTACTGTGTTGGCTGACAGCATGAGCCAGCTTGCCTACCAGGCAGCGATGGCTGCGGCAATGAGGAAACAGCTGATTGAGTACATCGAGGCAAGCTGCATCGGCTTTGGATGTTGACCACGCAGCTTTTCGAGAGACTTCATTCTGATCCCTTGACCCATGGAGCAAATCCTCATGTTTGGCAGATCAAGGACTGAGGACCTGCGTTTCGGACAATGTCCAAGGGTTATCGTCGCGTTCGGTCTCCCAAGCCCTGTGCCACCAGGTCTTGTCGGGTATGTCTCAAAAAGCGGAGACCATGGAAACTTTTGGAGGCATCGCCATGATCATTTGTTCATGGACTTGTGAACCCTTCAGATTAACCCCCCCCCCGATTCATCAAACAGGTCTCCGTGAACATGAGCCCAGAACCATTTGTCGGGGGTTGTTGATCGAGGTTAAGACGAGTTGAGGGGTGCCAACCCCCCCCCCTCGCCCCCCAAAACCTCGGCTGGGCCTTCGCAGGCGAACGGGGGCTTCGAGGACTCCGAGAAGCTCTGTGAAGAGAAAGGCCTCGGTGCCAAGACATGGTCTGCGTCGCAAAAAGTGGTTGGACCCCGGAGATTGTGGGGTTCCTGTTGGTTTCCCGTCCAACGACCTGCAAACGGGTTTCCAACAAACGCGGACACCCAGCCACCCCCACCCGCCCGCCCGCCCGCCCGCCTGCCCGCCCGCCCGCCCGCACGCCCGCCCGCCCGCCCACGCCCGCACGCCCGCCCACCCGCACACATGCCCACACTCGTACACGCGCACATTCGTACACGCACACATGCACACAAGTGTTTAGAGCCTCCAAAAGTGGCAGTTTCTTGGGAGCCCGCCTCTAAATTGCAACTTTTCAATGGAAATTCAGTGACCCGTCCAGAAAGTAGGCTTCGATGCTTGTAATTCGTTGCATTTTTTTTTTGCGGGCCGGGGGGGGGGGAGGTGGCTTTGTATGACGAGACATTCTTACGGGCCGGATAGGGACATTGATTTGATACCACAGTCTCCTCACAGGAAAGAAGTAAATGAAGAGTCGAGAGGACAAAAGCAATTTCACTGATTGGAGGTGACACTTCTCACTGTTTTTCCTTTTTTTTGCATTGTCCATGGCGCGCTTGCGATTTGAGGCTGGGACCATGAGACGTTAGTGGGCGCCATCAAGTCCTTGCAGTCCGAGGCGCGTTTTCTTGAAACCCAAAGGCCAACGGCGCAAGGCGGCACAAACAGCTGGCCGACCGAAATGGAGGAAGGCGCTGAGGCTCCTTTCAGCCCTGAGAAAGGGGCCACGCATGAGTTCCGAAACCGAGGATTCAATGCGGCCGCCTGAGAAAAGTGGAACCTGATAGACTGATAGAATGCCTTCTGACACAGGGGTCCTTATGTTTCCCTTTTTGGCCCGCTTAAACAGCACCATGTGGGACTTTGAGATGTGGTTTGTCTTTGCGAGGTGTATATATATATATATGTATAGACAATATATGTGCGTATGTAATTATGTATGCACATAGCAATGCACATATAGAGACGCATGTAAGGTTGTTTTCTAGTTACAGCCGTTTAGGCGCAGCCACCTAGAAGCGGGCTCCATTTGCATGCGCAGACCCAGACAGCCTCGTTTGCACGCAGACGCGGGGGTGCAGCATGCATTCCTGTTTAAGAGCCAGGGCCTTCATCCGCCAGTGAGCTAGTAGGAAACACGAATCATTTGAGCTGGGTAGAATGCTTTGAGAGGTTGCTCGGACTGTTGAGCAAGACAGGTGGTTGGTGGCATTTTGACACATGTGAATGGACAAGAAGGCAGATTGTCGCATTCTAAAAGAGCCCAAGGCCGCACTTGTTTGGTCTCGTGCTGAGTGTGATCCTTGCTCAAAGCGCTGGCAGGTTGCCTGCGAGTCAATGTAGTGCTTAACATGTTCCACTTGTGAGATTGCATGTCATCAGCCCAACTCTTGCCAACACAACTCATGCTTGAGTTCGAACACTTGATCATCTGGGAGGAAGGGGGGGGCGGCCAAGTGAATTTAGAAGGTACATTCAAGCCTTCCCTTTTTGTTCAGGGCACTTGGGGACAACCCCGTGGGATGCGCAAGTGCTATGTTAGGAGCAGATCACTGCAGAAGCCTCCAAGCGCGAAGGCCGGAGCTTTGAAGCTGTCCGGTATGGACTCAGCCCCCGTTCAAGTTACCTCTCGTGCAGGCCGCCAGTCGTTTTCCTTTAATCTTTGGGTTCTTGCTCAAGGGGGTCCTACACTGAAGTATATAGGTAAACATGGGCCCACTGTGTACAGTGCTTGTGTCAGTGCTTCGTGTATTGGGGTGCTAGATAGCACGATATTGTCAGCTTCCCCGAAGGGCAACCAAAAGGAGATGGATGATTCCCCCCCCCCCCCGAACCCCTGTTACTCCCGTGTACTTGTCTTGTTTTGTGCGCATGTGTGTATGTGTGCGTGATGTTGCGTTGCAACTTTAGTTGATTTCATGGAGTCTGCACTTCTGGCCATCAATTGGACCACAGACATGAAGACTGCTCACATGGGTATGGGTCAAACTGAAACCACTACGGGACCGCAGGCTTTAGTCCATGTTTCAATGTTCCAGGGTTCCATGTTGGGTACCTGGTTTTGACCCACAGACACATGGGAACCTGAAGAATGAGGAACTTGTGATGTCCATGCGTGGCCGATGCTGGCAAGAATCATCCGGCATACGTGTAGAAGCAAGGTCAAGATCGTGGCTGTGTTTCGAAATTGAGAGCTCCTTTTTGGCTCAATTGAAGGGTGTAAAGTCGAAACACAGCCAGCCAATTTTGGTGAGGCACTTCAGGAAAACACGGGACAGGCCCATGGGTTCCCTGAGGCTGGAAGCTCACAGCGGAAGGGGAGGAGTACTGCAGGAGCGGGAGTCCGGAAGTCCAGGCCAGCTGGGAAGGCGGCGAGGGCCAGAGAGATGGCCATGGCTGAAGAAGAACCTCTCACTGCAAGGTATCCCTATTCTGATTTGCGCCCTTCAAGCAAGGCATACGCAAGATGGGGCACAAGAGATGCACCATGCAGTGGACCCAAGTGGCTTTCTCGGCTGGGAAATCGCTTTGTTGCATCAACACATAGTGTCTTAGTCGTCCGTATGATATTCCTTGCATTTGACTAACTCGCCATCCACACTGCATAGGTGTCCTGTTGGGTCACTTTGCTCGTCAAAGGGACGCCAAAGAGAACTCCATGGAGCCCGTTGTTGGATTTCCTTCAGGAAATGCACAGAGAACACTTCGCTTTTTCTCTGGGAGGTCTAAGGCATGCATGCGGTTCATTCCAATTCTCATTTCTGCCTATGGAACCAGCAAGATTTGGGGGGGGGTCAACTCCACCAAACAAAAGACACCTTTTTCGTGTCCTTCAATGAATCCACAGGGAACACTTCGGTTTCCACCTTTTTTTTTGGCGGTTGGCGGGGGGGTTGGTTCGGGGCCTTTTGGGGTGTCTGATATTTCCCCCTCGAGGCGCTCGCGCGGCGACCCTTTCAGGTGGCTGTGGGTCAAAACCAATGGTATCATTTTGTGGTAGGTGCACCACCCATTTTAGTCTATTTTGGTGGGGATTGGGATGTTCACTAAGATTACGGGCTTTTGACCCATCGCCAGGTCTTCGACTTTGTGAAGGCCAAGGGCTCGGTGCCCAGCTCCGAGCTGGACGCCGCGCTGGGGGCCATGGCCAAGATCGGCCCGGGAAGCCCAGGTCGCCGCCACCCGATTGACGCGGGGGGAAGGGTGGGGAGGGGGGGAAGGGGGGGTTTTGGTGTTTTTTTGCTTTTTGTTTTTTTTTCATGTGGGGGGTTGGGGGTTGGGGGTTGGTCCAGATGCAGACTACGAAAGAGGCAGCGGGGCCTTGGAATCCACAAGCTGCCTTTGAACATTTGACTCCCAGAGCTCTTGGAATCTAGAAAACAAAAGAGGCATCTGGAAACGAGGCACCGAGGCACCCGGGGGCTCGGGCAGTTTGAACAAAAAGGATCTCCACACCTTCCAGCTCTTAGGCCTGGAGCAAACTGCCTGGAACGTGATTTCTTCGAGCGCCCCCCAGGGTCAAGGCAGTTGAAGGTTTCTTGTGTTCCATATGGGTATGTTTTTTGCTTTTTTGGGGGGTTCCCCCAAATTGGTGGTTTTCCTTGTGGTTTTATAGCCACCAAAGAAGAGGTCCCTCGAAAAAAAGACACACCCATATCCTCCCCAGTCGCCATGGCCACGGCTGAGGCCTGGGCACCTGTATGAAGAACAAGTGGGTGTCCATCGACAAAGCCAAGGCCTTTTCGGTGGGCAAAAGGTGAGTTTTGGGGAACTTGGCGAGAAGGGCCCTGGCCGTTTCTTTTTCTTCTTTTCTTTAAGTTTCTCCTGCGCGTTTTTTGGTTCCCAACTGGAAGTCTTCGCTGTCACCCATCGAAGATGACTGTCGGTTGCTCATTTTTCCCGCTTCTGTGGATTGGCGTGATGGCATGCAGACATACCCACCCTTTTTGATGGAGCGCAACCCGAAGTAGCGATCACAAGGGCAGGCAAGTATGTAAGTTCAGTCTGTGCAAGTACTCTTTGTGTTTGTGCGCCGTCATTTCAGTGAGACTCTGTCAGCATGTAAGTGTTTCACCACCCATGTGCCTAGGCGACATCTTCTGTTGCTTTACGTGTGCCTCGCACGCATAGGTCACGTGTCATAGGTGGGCCTGACGAGGGCCCGTGCAAAGAAGCGTATACATCACCATACATGGCCTTTTTAGTACTTGGCGTAGAAGTAGATGGTTTACATTATTTGTTCCATTTGCCAGGGAAACCCATCTAATTTTCCAAAAGGACGCTATGTACAGGACTGTGGCAGCACAGTTGTGACGTGAGGGGAGTTGCCACGGGGTGGCAAGCTAGAGAAGCTGATCAAGCGCCGGCATCTCGTTCATTTTCGCCTGTGATACTGTAGCTCGCAGCACGTGTTCAGCCGCAGGACTTGATTTCGTTTTAGAGAGTGAGATTAACTTCAAGCGACATTGGCAAAGCGGAGCTTTTTCATATGTGGAGCATTGGACGTCATGTTCAATGAACGTCATGTTCATGTTTCGTACTTGGCTTTACCCCATTGACCATGACTCTCGTTTGAAACGCGGCAAAGCCGTCAAACACCAAAAGCAGCGCGGGCCAGGTCTGCACCTGCTCGGTGGACAGCGTCACGGACACCGTGCGCCAGGAGCTGGGAAGCCTTAGCACCTTGGACAAGGCGCTCTGGGCGCGGACGTTGGGAGGTACCTCTCCCAGCCTTTTCACATGGAACCTGACGTTCAGGTTTTGTTTAAAGAAAATGGCCTTCAAGGACCCCGGAGTCAGGTTCCTTCTAGTTGGCGGGAGGGTCATCCCTGTGGCCCTTGAGCAGTTTGGTTGCCCTTTTCCAAGAATTGGGGAAGTGGACAAGGGTGCCTTTTCAACAGGAGGGTGGTCTTCCAAAACCCTCCTGTCCCATTCCATGATTGTCGGAAAGAGGATTACCGCATCAGGCTTGTCAGACAAAGGGGGTGTCGCAACAAAATGCGGGACCCTTTCTTTGGACTTCCCCAAGTTTTGAGAAGCGTCCATGTTACAAGGCACAAGGTGTGTGTGTGTGTGTGTCACCTGTTTTTCGAGGGAAAATGCCAAAAAGGTGGCCAGGAACTGCATGTTTGCAGAGTTTCTGCAAATGAGTGTGTCACCTTCTTTCGAGGGGGAAAGCCAAAAAGGTGGCCAAGTGAGACCTATCACCTTTGGATCTTGCGAAATCACCTTGCATTTATTGCGAAGAACGTCAAAGCCTGATTTGCTTGGGTCCCACAACTCGGTTTCGCTTTTTGCTCAGCTGCCGTCTGGCGCCTGCCGCTGGCATGCCGCGCCGAAAAACCGGCAGGCGAAGCTGGACGCGTTGAAGAAGCGGAAGCTGATCGCGCCCACAAGCCTCACTGCCTTCAAGGCGGCCTGAAGTGAGCTGCGGGGCTCCTTCGATCTTATTTTCTTGACTGCTATTGGGTTGGATCCTTAGACTTTGACTTTTTGGGAAATCAAGGGGGTTTCTACTAACCCCCAAGAAGTTAATTTTTTGCGGGGGGGTCAACAGCAACCAAGTTTTTAGCATAAGGTTCAAATAGCCGTGGCTCAACAAAAGGTACCACAATGGCACCTTGCTAAATGGAACCAAAGACTAATGCCTGCGTGACCCTATTTTTGAGCCACACCCAAATATGAACCGAAAACAAAAGCACATGACTTGAGGGGCAAGGCGAAAACAGGGCTTCCCTGAATCTCCAACTTTGGACCGAACGTATGCAGTAATTTGAACTTATGGTTTCGCCACCCCACCTTTTGGAACCATCAGAACATTCTCATTGATGTCGCTTGCGCTGTAAGCACCGTCAACATGCACTGCTGATGGAGATTGCGTTACAACAAATACATGGCCGTGGGTGAACACCAATGGTATCGTTTTGGGGTAGGTGCACCACCCATTTTAGTCTCTTTTAGTGGGGATTGAGATGTTCACTGGGGGTACGGGATTTTGACCCATGGCCACATGGACAAATGCGTGTCTTTGCCACTTGTGAGTGGAATTCGCATTGACAAACACATCCCGCCGGTGAGAAACCGCCGTGGCGGCGTGCCTGCGAAGGTGAAGTCGAAGGTCCACTGGAGCGAAACAGTGGTGATTCCCATAGAACCTTTCTGGGTGGTTCTTGGGATGTGCCACGCCTGCCTGCAAAAACAGCACCATGCTTTTCACTTTTGCATCCCTGCGTTTGTGCAGTGAAAGACACGAGGTCTTCGCCCGGTGCACCCGACCACATGCGATGTTGTTTTGCGCAGGGAACAAAATGGCCAGTAGACTTGACTCTTGTAAGTAGCGATACTAACAGTGCAGCGGGCACGCAATCTCATGAACACGCTGCGATATACAGTGCAGCCGGCACGCAGTCCAACCGGCAGCACAGCGTATGCAGCGCGCAGTCGAACGGGCACGCTATGGGGCCATTGCGTGTCACTCAAGTGTGCATTTTGTTGAAATGGCAACAACTACACGGGCGTTTTTTGACCCTTTGGCAAAAACACTCGTTCGCTGCTGTTGCCCTAGTAGAGCTTGGAACACAATGGCAGGCCTTCTCACGTTGCATGCAAGACGGGCCTGCTGCTTCTGACAGAAGATGACTGAGACCAAGAATGCGCGAGTTGACATGAGCTTATCTACTGAACAACCAGCCACTTTCCAGTTGCCTGGGGCCCGCGTCTGGTCATGACTTGTCATGATCGGCCTTGAGACTGAACTCATGACCCTGGCAGCTCGGGCTGGTTTCCAGCAGTAGGCACTTACGAACACTGCTTAGTTTGGCTCTTTGAATCGTTGCCAGACTCAATTGCCACTTTGCCCCATGGCCCGTCTGGGACTCATTCATTTTCCTCTGCTACCCTCGAAGTCTGGCCAAGGAATGATGGCCCAATAGCATCACACATGCAAGGCCTCGCTGAGGGATTTATCAAGCGGATGGCAAGACTGCAAGGCGCCATGACTCATGACCATCCCACTCATGATTACGTGCGGTCGGACTGGGGTAAATCCCAAGGGAACTTTTAAGCCCAGCTACTAAGTGGGGTTGGTGATGCAAGTACCTGGTTGAGGAGCCTATAGAACCAAAAGCCAGACCAAGGACTTCTGAATCCAAGAGCCGTTGCTTCAACACGACTGGGAGCTGGCTAAACAGGAAGCACGCTTGAAGATGTGAGGAGTCGATACTAACATGATGCATCTGATGAGTTGATGCTGGGCGTCTTGAAGAGCTGGCTCTTTGTCGCCCTTCCAAATTTCCGTGTCGTTAGGTCTGGTTCCTTTCCGGGTTTGGCGGATGCCAGGGCTTCCCTATTTCCGGTTCAAATATCAAGGCTGAATTTGGGGTGACTCTGAGCAAGAAATTGGTTTTCATGAATATATGGTTTATTCCCCAGATAGCTGAAAGCTATAGGGGTTCTAACTTCTAAGAAAAAGGGAGGTGCTTTGCGAGATTGATGGGCTGGTGCTGTGGGGCGTGCAGTTTGGGGTGCTGGTGAAGGATGGTGAAGGTGCTGTTTGGGTGTTTGAGGTGCTGGTGAAAGACAGTCCGGGCGCATTTTTGCAAGATTGACGGTAGGATGCAGGGGGGCATGCAGTTTGGAAGGCTGTTTGGGGTGCTGTTGGAGGTGCTAGTGACGGCGCGGCCAAGTGCTGTTTCGGGGGGTGCTGTTGGAGGTGCTACAGCACAATCGTCGGCATGCTTTTCGCTATCTGGCTTCTATGCCGGTGTAATTTGTTTCAAAGAAGCAGGGAAGCTTTGGGCCCTATGATTGGCTTCGCTCAGGTGGAGAAGACTGGGAAGTTCTCCTCGGGAGCTCAGAAGGCGGTGGCTGACCTCACCTCCGAGATGATCTCCAAGGCTGGATGACGCAGTTGGCCATGGGTCAAAATCCAAATCGTACCCCCAGTGAACACCCCAATCCCCACTAAAATAGGTTCTAAAATGGGTGGTGCACCTACTCCAAAATGGGATCCTATTGGTTTTGACCCACAGCCAGTTTTTGGGAGGGGCAGTATTGCGAGTTGTTTTTGCCTGTAGGTTTTGGGGAATCCTAGCTGAGTGAGTGGCCAAGGGCATCTCCTTTAAAGAGTTGGTGTCACAAAGGTCATGTTCCACAACAATGGGGGCAATAGGGGCTGAGGATGGAAAAGGGAGCCTCGGGCAGGTCTACTTGTGAATATCTGGCAGGTTTAGACTGGACCGAGCACTGGAAAAGAACGTCATGCTGCAAGGCATCAGTCACTATGCAATGCCATCGCAACGGTTTAGGCACTTTGCAGTGTTCATGTCGTAGCTGGCGATGTGCTTGCTTGTGTCATGTACCCATTTTGGCAGACGGTCAGTTTTGGTTTCTCTTCAGCAGCCAGGGTACTTGGGCCAGCACCACCTTCAAGCCCTTCAACCTCACCAACGCCAAGGGCACGGTGAGTGAAGGAGGCCATCTTCATCCCTTGAACAAGGCACATGTCGGCGCGAGCCAAGGGAATGAGAGGGTGGGGATAGGATCCTCTTTTTGTTTTCACGTGTTGGGCACTTTAAGCATCACCTTGGGGGCCATTTCAAAAATGAGTTGCCTTTTGGCCGGATGATGTTTGAGTGGGGGGAGGCCGGTGTGTTTCCTTCAGTGGGAAGGGAGGGCTGGCCGGAAGAGCGTTGGAAAGGGACAGACTGGTGCTTTTTCATAGGCAATTGGAAGATCAAGTGCTTTCTCGCGCTTACTATGTCAGCATGACGGGCTTAGCAGCTGGGTGTGGATGGAAGCTGTTTGCACAGGTTGATGCCTTTTGATCTGGTTTTTCGTTCGGACCGGAGTCAAACAAGTCGCTTCGCTTGTGTGCAGCCAAATGCGGTCAGCAGCGCTATTTAAACTTCCCCCGTTTTCCACATTGAGCGCCATTGGTGCATTCTGACAACATGTCAGCTTTGCTGGCTCCTTGCTACCTTTGGCATGGGGTAGTCTTCCTTTTTCGTGTCAGCCTTTCCTTTGTCCGATCGGCATGTTGCAGCCGGATAAGACATTTCTGACATTTCTGGCACACCTCGTATTTTTGATGCATTTTGGCCTAGGGCAGACGCCCAAGCCATCCAGCGTGAAGTTTCATCATCATTGGCATTGGTCACCTATTCCTTTCATTTGGCCTTCGGATTCTTTGCAGAGATGGAACCCCTCCTCGACCTTCGCAGCTGCGCACGCGGGGGCCGCGGGGGGTGGGCATCGCGGCATCGCAGGTGAAGACGGAGATGCGGCAGGTGCTGATGCAGATGGGCTTTGAGGAGATGCCCACGAACCAGCCGCTCGGAGTCGAAGTGACGAAGTGGATGGGCTCAGCCAATTGGGGACCTACCTGCCTCTTGGGAGGGGGATGCGCGTCCTGGTTTGGGGACCTACGGGATCCCAGGGGCAGCAGAGTTGTCAGAAGCCTGGTGGATGGATGCGGGAACCCGGGTAGATTGTTCAGCCGGAGCGAAATGCAATCAAAATGCAAGGACATACCTCGATCCTTGAAAGCATTTGTTTGCGGCTCGCGAGAAAATATGCCAGGTCAAGAGGTTGTTTTGTTCACGATATGATCTTTGACAATGCTTGTCATTCAATCCGCCTCTCCAGGTCAGGTTTGGTTGATGCATCCAGTGGTGTCTTGTCGAAGAGATGCGACATTGTCCTGTGCTGACTGTGAAGCGGTTAGCCGACCATCAAAGAACTCCCAGGGCATGAGAATCCCGAAGCGTGGTGTTCAGCCGGATGTGGGGGTGTCCAGTGTTCAAATCCGTGAAGAAATGTGTGGTTGCTTTCCCAGGTGGGTGGAAAGCTCCTTCTGGAACTTCGACGCACTCTTCCAGCCACAGCAGCACCCTGGCAGGGAGCAGGGATCAACTGCCGAGGCAAGGTAGGCCAAAGGCTTTGCCCCTTGCACAATCCTTTGGGTTCCCCACAAAAGTTGGTCAACCCCTCAGGGTTGCTGGGCAGCACATCGAAGCCTGTGTTCTTCTCAACTTGATTTGCTTGCAACACATGGCAGACCAAGATCTTGGAAGTCCCTTCAAATGTGTGCTGCTTTGCGACTGGGACCAGGGACAGGGTTGCTACCGGCTGGGAATTAAGCAGCCCAAGCTTATCTATGAAGGCAATAGCAACATTGTAAAAAAAGGGGGGGGGGGGAAAACCTTAACATGAACCCATGACGTGGCAGTTGAATGCTGATTTCAACCCTGTTCTGCAACTTGATTAGCTTATGGCGGGGGGCAAAGTTGTGCCCGGCGACCTTCCTGCTCAACAATCTGTGAAAGCCTGCCGGGGGCGGTGGCTTGCATTGTCGGGCAAGGTCTGCAACTGAAGCAGGTTCTGCCTCAGGCCTGTGTATTGTCTTGGCTTCAGCTGGCCTCTTCCAGCTGCCTGGTGCTATCATAGCATCAGACTTCCGTCACGTACACGTAACGAGGGCTAGAGTAGCCGCATAAATTACGCATAAACCACAAAGCCCCCGCCACACGCACACGTGCACACACACACACACACACACACACACACACACACACACACACACACACACACACACACACACACACGCTTGTGCAAGTGCCGGCTCGCACGCACGCAGCGACGAGCGGGTTGAGGGCGGATAAGACATTTTAAGAGCAACACGCACCACAGAACACGGCAGTCGTGGGGTCGGCAGATTGTTTGTGAGGATTTGGAGCATTCTTCCAAACATGCCTAGACTATGAACTCGTTCTGCGCCTGGCCATGTCGATGCAAATGCCACGGGTAGCTTGCACGGCATCAAAGCGGAATTGGCCAGTCCTCTGAGGCATCCCGCCCGAGACGCGCACGACACCTTCTTCATGGAGGCCGCGAGCCATTCGCTAGCGGCGAATTAGCTCCCAAAGACGAGCTGGCACATGTTCGCAACGGGCCAAGCTAGGCTTTTGTCCGCTTCAGATCCTCCTTTCCAATGTTTGAAGGTTGGTCAAGTTGTTTTCAGGCCCTTCGTAAGAGCGCGGAACTGCGTTAAAATGATCCGGTCCTCTCGGTGAATTGCTGAGAGCACGCTTGCAACTGCCGTGGATATGTTTGGTTGGAGGCATTGTTCCATCTTTTCTTGGAGAGGGTCGCTCTTGGAGGCGAAAACTTGTTTCCCTCACGTTACAGCGCCTGCGAGGCTTGGTTTCCGTGTGGCTTTCCACTTTGAAGCCATTTCCGCATGCCATCCTCGGTCGGTGACGCTTCCGCTTGGCTTCCCGCGGTGAGTCGCTTTGCCCAGCGAGGCGCCCAGCCGAGCGCAGAACATTCCAGAGGACTACCTCAGAAGAGTCAAGGAGATGCACGAGCCAGGGGCCAGAGCGAACGCACGAGCGGCGTGGTGTCCCATGTCGGTTTGGTTGAAAATAGATGGGCTGCAGTAGTTTTAGTTTGGTTCCTGGTTCATTTGCCCGTGCCATGAGGCTGTTTGACAAGAACTAGGTTTGCAAGTTGTGTGCAAGCAAAGGCGGCATCGGGTTGCGCCCAGCTTCCAAGGAAAGGAGGTCAAGGCTCCATCGGCTGGCGCTATGACTGGAGTGAGGAGAGACGCAGTAGGGAAGAAAACAAAGCTTTTCCATTTCACTCTGCGTGCTTGCAGTCGTTCTCCTTGGATTGCTTTCACTCATCCGTTCCCAGGTCTTTTCGCATTGTTGAGCTGCTGTCAGTCCGGCCAAGTCCTCAAATGGAGCGGCTTCAAACGACGAAGTGCACTTTGTGCATACTTCCCTGAGTTACCTCCACATCTGCGACGCCAGGACGAAGCTAAGAAAACTCTGCTGCGCACTCACACCACAGCCGTTTCCGCCGGGGCGCTTGAGGGGCTGGGCTGGAGCCAGCGCTCTTTCGGGAGCCCTGGAAGACAAAGGTTGATTGAGAAAATGTGCCGTTCCTCAAGGCCCGCCTGGTCGGGAAAGCCGATCTGCTACTTTAGATATTTAGCTCGCACCTTGATGTGAAGAGTGGCAGCCCATGCCAGTTGCCTCCTCACTGCTTTGGATGTGTGTTGCGGTTGATTCTAAAGTGGCTTACAGGGGCTGTGTCAAGAATTGACATGCAGGTCAAACAGCCGCAAACTAGAATCTAGATCTGTGTTGTCGACGCTGGTTTGATTTGTTGCTTTCATTCAGAGTCGATAAGTTGAGCAGTGACACTAGACACGCTGCCTTGTAGTTGGAGTTTCACGCAGGTGGTGCAGCCTCCCATGAAACCTCGACTGCAAAGCTGCAAAATTAGCACGTCTTAACTTGCAAGAGGCGTCCTTGGTCCTTGACTCGAGGACATGGTTCTGGCTGCGCCTTTGTCAGGCACAAAGGCCTTCGGAATTTGTTGAGATATGTTTCTTGGCAGGCCAGTCAAACTGTCAGAAACCTTCAACTGCCGTCAACAGCTAGGTCTTGTTGGTAAGATGGATGTGGTAGGCATTTTTGTGAGAACACCTTGAAATATGGCTATCTGACATAACTTCACGAACAAGATGATGTTCACCAAAACGTCCCCGAATGACACTCGCACCAATGTCATGGCTGTCGCATCTCAAGCCTGAAGCCTGGGAAATGCATCGCCCCCAGGCCAGGATGCTCTACAAGATGGGCGAGGCGGGGCGAAAGGACGCACGACATCCTTAGTGGATTTGTTTGAGGATCAGATGGTTGTGGGTCAAAATTAAAGAGCTAGGGCTACGCAGGTTTTAGTCTTTGGTTCCATTTACCAAGGTGCCATTTTGGTGAATGTGTTTGAGCCACAGCCAGATCGCTTTGTTCATAGGGCCCCGGCTCTGAATGTGGTTGGGATCCGGCACCGCGCAAGGGCACCGCTATTCAATCTTGGCGTCATGGATCCATGCCCATCGAGCCCATGTCAGCTGTTGCCATGGGGTGAAGTCACCCACCTTCGACCGTGCCTCAACCGGTGATATTGACAAGGGCGCAGATGCCTGACATTGTTGCCACTCGTTGGCCGACTCTGTACCGTGGCATGATCCTGCTGCATGTGTCTACGGCTAAGTTGCTGAGCGCTTTCTACGATTGACAGCCTTGGACCTGCTTGATTTGAGAGAGCTGTACCCGCATAAAGCCGAGAATCTAGATCTGTTGCCCCGGACTCCAACAAGTTGATAGTTGGATTGCTCACTCCAGGGGTTCTTGAGCGCCTCGCCTCGCCGCACGGGCGACTGGGCGAGGCCACCAGAAAGGTCAGGGAAACCGAAGGCCTACGCCAGCTGGACTGCTATTGGGTAACGGATCTTTAGACGTCAACTTGTTTAAAGAAATCAAGGTGGGTTTTCCACTAAATCCACAACAAGTGTTCCACTTTTTGCAGAGGGGTCAACCGAAAGCCGAAGCCAGGAGTATCGGAAAACCGGGGTCTTTCAGCCCAAGAAGTACTTCTCCATTGACCGCGTCTTCAGAAATGAGACGTTGGACGCCGGGCCCTCGTGCATCCAAAAGGGGCCCGAAGTGGGCGCAAGGGGAAGCTCGCTGGTGAGTGCTCCGTGTTTAGGAATAGCATGGAGTGACACGATGTTGACGTCAAATGGCGTGAAGTTTAAGAGGCCGAGTTGCACAGGAAGTGGCCGGCCACACTCTGGAGCCCTAGTCTCGTCAGTTGTGTTTCACACAAAGTTGTGGAGTTGGCTCCCCTTTCAAAGATTTCTTCGTAATTTGAGAGGAGCGCTGACCAATTTTGGGTCTCAGAGCATGCCACCACAATGCGAGAAAGGCCGAACCAAATCGGGGGCATACGTTCCTCAGAAAGAAAGTTGTAGTTGGTTTCAAGTTGTGGCCATGATCAATCGAGGCCACTTCTGCGATCCGAGGGGACGACATGCTCACCTAATTGATTCACACTGCCATCAAGACTGACGCTTGTTCGGTGTGTGTGTGTGTGTACTCATTCTTGTTTCCTTGTATGTTTGTCAGTTTGTTTGTTTGCTTCTTTGTTTGCTTGCTTCTTTGCTTCTTTGTTTGCTTCTTCTTGTGTTTGTGGGTTTCCTGATTTCGCGAGCTTCCCTCTCCCCTCGCCTCCGCCCGAGGCCACCCACCTGGCAGAGTTCCACCAGATCGAGGGCTTCGTGGCAGACCGCGGGGGCCTCTATCGGCTCCATTTGGGCTCTCAGCTTCCCTTTGTTGGACCTCCAACAGTGGCAGGTTCCATGGATTTCAGCAGTAAATTGCACCTTAAGGGGTAAATCCAGTGGATCCTGTCAGTAAATTGCAACTTAAGGGGCAAATCCAGTGTCGAATAGTCCGTCGGCTCCATTTGGGCCCCTTGCCTGGCTTCCAGTTGCGTCCGAGGCAACATCGGACTGCCGCAGCTCATCGGCGTGCTCCGAGACTTCTTCTCGCGGATCGGCATCTCGAAGCTCCGTGCCCTCGATGCAAATCCGAAGGTACAAATGGCTGTGGGTCAAAAAAATGTACTCAGGAAAAAGGACCACACTGCGTAACCCCTGCTCTTAAATTTTGAGCCCCACCCAAATTGGTCCCCTGAGAAAGGGATTCCCTTTCAAGGGTTCCCCAAATAAAAATTGGCGCCAAACATCGGGGGGGGGGGGGGGTACCGGTACCCCCACCCCCACCCGATGACTGAGTGCTCAACTTTTGCTTTGGAACAGGCAAATCTAGGGTTGCTCCGAGCTGAAAGTTGACCCAAAGGCTATTTGGGTAGAAATTTGGTTGGGGTTCTCCCCTTTGCCCGGGATTTGGGACTTGTAAAAGGTGTGAAACATCACCTGGTTTCCAATTGTGAGTGAGTTCCCTTTTGGTGATGCAGCAAGAGGTATGGGCACATTGCTACTTTTTTTCGCTTCTGAAGCTTGAGGAGGGGAAAGCAGCCACGTGCCGCAGCGATGACCATGTTCTAACCGTGCGCTTAGTTGATAGCACGTGTTGGCGATATGCCTACAGAAACGGGAAAGCATGGGCTGATGTCCCTCATTCATGAGCTGAGGGGCACTTATTCGTGGCCATGCCCCTGTTTTGACGATTATCCGCCTCTTAGACATAAGAAATGCTCCTTACCTCTTTGCCTTACGGTGATTCCAAGACGTTCCTCTGAATCCTTTCTTAGCATCTCCTGGTCAACATCGCCAGCATCACCTGCATCATCCGTATCAGCGCCTGCCAAGGATGCAGATGATGCAAGTAATGCTGGGGATGTTGCCCATGCTGGTGAAGGAAAATCTGGAAATGAAGGAAACTGCATGGAAATGAATGACATGAAGTGAAATGAAAGAAAAGGAAAAAAAACAAACATACAGGGACATGAGCCGGAGTGAAGGAAAGTGAAGGAAAATGAAGATCTAGATTTTAGGGGGGGAACTGGGGAGAAGATCGGAGGGGGGGGAGGGGAAAGGGAAAGATCTTAGGGGGGGAGAGTGTCGGAGAGATCTTAGGGGACAAAGGCCTTAGGAGAGAAAGGGGAAAGGATCTCAACCGGGAAAGAGGGGAAAGATTTTCGGGAGGAAAAGGGAAAAGATCTCAGGGGGGGAAAGGCCTTAGGGGGGAAAGGGGGAAAGGATCAGAAAAGATCTTAGGGAGGAAAAGGGAGAAGATCTCGGGGGGAAAAGGCCTTAGGCGGATCTCAACCGGGAAGGGCGGGGGGGAAAGATCTTGGGGAGGAAAAGGGAAAAGATCTCAGGGGGGGAAAGGCCTTAGGGGGGAAAGGGGGAAAGGATCTCAACAGGGAAAAGGGCTTAGGGAGGAAAAGGGAGAAGAGCTTGGGGGGAAAAGACCTTAGGGGGGAAAGGGGGGAAAGGATCTCAACAGGGAAAGGGGGGGAAAGATCTTAGGGAGGAAAAGGGAGAAGATCTCGGGGCGCAAAAGCCTTAGGGGGGAAAGCGGGGGAAAGGATATCACCCGGGAAAAGGGGGAAAAGATCTTAGGGAGGAAAAGGGAGAAGATAGGCCTTAGGGGGGAAAGGGGGAAAGGATCTCAACAGGGAAAGGGGGGCAAAGATCTTAGAGGGGAAGGGGGGCAAGGGGACAATTCCAAAGGAACGCACATATGAAAGTAGGTCTGTAATGTCGGCGGCCTGAGCCGGAGGCGTTAAGATTTTGCTGTTCTTTTTTTGGCTCAAGCTCACAGCACAATTAGATCAGCTCAATGCGGCTGCACGTCAGTAAATTGAGAAGCATGTTGAAAGTGTGGCAGCTGAGCACTCAGATGAACATCCTTTTCCAGTCTGGATTCTCCGCGTGTTGTTTTCTTTGACCTGCCTTGTTTCACTTGTTTGGCTGACGAATCTGGCGCAAAGAACCAGATCAGGTTCGCCAGCTTCGCGTTCTTTTGGGTTGCGGTCAGCTCCCAGGCTTCAAGCCGGCCTACAACCCCTACACCGAGCCCTCTATGGAGGTCTTCGGCCCTTTGGCCCTGGCGGGGTATGTCTCAAAGCGGGGTCATCTCACGTGTCGGTCGTCAATATGGTTTTTTCACCAGGCCAAAACGAAACCATCGCAATGGTCTGGTGGATAGTATAAGAACTCCCCGTGTGGTCCATAGCTGTACACCTTGGGCCATGTTTGACCTATCGTGGGGCAGTCGGCAGTCATCTTTGAGCTGCCAGGTTGCCCCAAGTGACAAATGGTGCGTGCAGGCAGTGTGGACAAGAAGTCAGCGAGCGTGTTGCTGACCACACGGTGACCACATTTCAGTGCAATGGGCGGTTTCTACTCCAGGCTGCCAGGACCCCTGCCCCTCAGATGGGGGTTTACAACTAACTACCAACTGGAGCTCAGTGGGTATCTCAAAATCAACTACGGATCGTTGAGCAGGGGATTGCGTGCAAGACAGGCTCGAAATGTCCGGACTGTTGTTTCCACCCCAGCGTGTTCCGTGCTTTCTTTGACTGATTCGATGGCATGAGCACATGGACATGGGAGCCTGGGATTTTCCGGGCTTTCCAAGCCACAGCCAATCTATCCACTGGGCCTTTGCTTGGCTCTCCTGTGCCAAGGCTTCCACCCCATCCTGAAAAAGTGGATCGAGGCCCGACACATGCACTTCCCCCGGTGAGGGGCTGCACGCCCGACAACATCTTTAAGATGTGCTGTGCCCTTCCACTGGCCCGGTTGCTAGCGAGGTCTCAAGGTGCCAAGCCGTCCAGTGTAATTCTGGATTGGCTTGGCTCTCCTGGATTTCTAGTGTCATTGTGGTGGGATGTGTCATTTTGTGACCTGTGCTAGCGAGACCACGGCAAAAGGCCTCGCACTGAGATGCGTGCTCGGTGCCAGGTGGGAAACAGCGGCGTCTTCAGACCAGAGATGTGCCTTGGCTTCCTTAGGAGATGACAGCGATCGGCTGTCACAATGTAAGCAGGGGCATTGCGTAAACACTGTATTATATATATATATATACATATATGCATGCTTAGATGTATTGATATTTATGTACAATGCAAGAAGGGAAAGCAATACATGTAGCCGGCGGTAGAAGGCAGCTGCAGTCAGACATCCAGATGATCTTAAGCAGGGGAGTTGTCGGCAAGTGGACTGGTCAAAACCTACAAGTCCGCTACAACTTCCGGGCATGGACCATTCTCTGTGAAGCCAAGGGAAGACATGCAACTTTGGCATCACAAAAGGAAGGCTGTGTCGTACACAGCCAGAAGTAGATGGGGCAAGTGCAGGAACACAGTTGTCAAAAAGAATTCTGCTAAGGACTAGGGCGTGCACATTCCTACACATTCATATACATATGTGTCACATATGTGTCACATATGTGTCACATATGTGTCACATATGTGTCACATGTGTCACATATGTGTCACATATGTTACATATGTGTTGCGCGGCAACTTAGATTGGCACGGGAGATGCCTTGTGCTGCCTGAGAAGCTAGCCCCGAACAGCTGATTGAACAAGAGTCCTTTGACCAAGAGGTGAAGAGATCTCGTGCTGCTTGCATCAGAGCGCCTTAGTGCCGCATGTGTATTGGCCGTTTTCGTGTTCACTCGCACCGAACATTATTCTTCTGCGTCGGTTAATAACACTTGGGCCAGATCCGAAGAAACATATTATATCATTACTTTTGTTGACTACAGGCAGCGTGGGAATCAGATGCAACACGGGCACACACACACACACACATTGCTTCTTCGGGCAAAGAGGCAGCTGTGGATTCCGAGTCCCTCAACGGATTTGATTTGTGTTCATGATGTGTGTTCATGTTTGCGTGTCAGCCCCGGACTAGAGAGAGCTTAGGCGCTTAAGACATTTCTGATCCTGCCACTGTCACTGGAGTCTTTCCAAGGCTGCTGCCCATGGGTTTGCCAGAAGATGTCACCGTCATCGCCTGGGGCATCGGATGTGAGAGTTGCTTGCCTGCAAGTGTAAGCTGAGGTCGCTAGAGATCCCAGCCAAAGTGGGCATTTTTGAGAGAGCTGGCCTAGATGTGCTGATCATTTTCCTAGAGTGAAACTCAATGAGAGCAGCATCATTGGATCGCTCCTGGCTTGCCCTTCAGCTGCATCTCCTAACTCGGACAACTAGGTTGAAATTATTGCAAAAACAAAGCGACAGAGTAGCCCTCTCAGGATGGACGGCGTTGCTGTACAACATCCGCATGATCAAGGACCAACCACAATCATGACTCACTGCCTCCAAGAATGACCTGGGAGTCTCATGAGCGACAACCTGTCAGGGCGTATGCTCAAACAGTGAGGCTGCGATGCATTTGTCCTGATTTTGAACCAGCGTGCTGAGCCTTTTGTGCAGATGGTTAATAGATAGTGATGAATGTGTGAGTTTACTCGGCTTACCCGGCACCTTTCACTCCAAGGGACATCTAAATTCCTTGGATGTGTCTTAAGTCTCGGATGCGCCACTGAGCCCACCCACCTAAGGTTGCGCATTGATTTGCAGCTCACTTTGGTAAAGACGACAGTTCGTCGATTGCATGACAGGTGATATTGGCGGAGTCAGGGAATGAATGGCACAGGAGCTGTTACAGTAGCAGCGCTCCAGGAATTTCTGAGCGATGGCCGAAGCCAAAGCAGCAGGTCCAAAGAGCCAATTCTACAGGACGGTTTGCAGGTCCGTTCCCTTTGGTTGCCCCTGACATTAAGATTTGCTCCTGGGGTGCGCTCCGAATTTAGGCCCAAATGGCGCATGTCCGAGGGGCTGGGGATGGCCTGCAGCTCCTCGGAGTTGCATTGCGCGCACACGTGGCAGGTCAGTTCACGTCATACACATGCACACTTGCAGGAGTCGCTGGGCCCTTTTGAAGAGCCGAAGTGGTTAGCATCGCGCCCCAGGAAAGAGGCTGAATGCCACCAAGGGCTTAGCGCTCTCATGTGGAGCGCTGTTCCTGCTAGCAGGGGCCGCGAGCCAGGAGCTTTTCAGCTTCCAGCAGGATGTGGCCGCCACCAAGAAGAACCCCATGTGTTGGCTGCGAAGGGCGGAGGCGGGGAAGGGGGGGGGATTTTTTCCGGGCTAATGGCCAGTGTTCAGACGGGGGCCTTGGGGCCATCCCTGTCATGGGATGGTGAAATCACAGTATGTACAACTCAGAGAGCGGGTGCTGGGTGTTCTTCCACGCGTGTGAGGCAGAATTATCCTTTGCTTTGGGACTGCACTGAACATCCTTGGAACCTGAAGAGTTGTTTGACTTACAGTTGTTCGTTTGATTTGGCAGACCCACTGAGTTCCAGAATACCCCAACTCTTTCCTTAGAAGCTTATCAAGAAACAAATATTGGCCCATTGTCAGCACCTGAGACGGTCGTGGCTCTATGCCCTTATTTCTCTCGGAGCGTGGTATCTTACCAAGCGCAGTGTGTGTGTGTGTGTGTCATTGGATGTTCGACACTTGACCTGAATCACACCAGCCGTGCGTCAGGATTAAGCCTGCATTCTGCGGGAATTTTGCGGCCGGGCTGCCCAGAGGGAGAGAACAGCAGTCAAGTGAAATCGAGTACTGCCCTTGAAAGCAGTACAACAGCCATTATGACGCTTTCGAACGGTATGCCGTGGTATGTCATTGCAGCTTTTTCAAGCATCACTTTGCACAAGGGCAATTCAACAACTTCTGCGCCAGATCGTGCCCAAGGGAGTTCTGGATTTTCGTTCCTCCGCCACCAGGGCCACTCGTACCTGTATGTTAGCTTTTAGGATGGGCTCAGACCATGAGGGTCTTCTTCTGGCTGTTCAGGTTTTCCGCTCACGGCCGTGCAGAAGGCCCCGCCAGCCCGCGTGGGAAAAATCGAGATTGCTCGCCGCCCGCCTTGGACAGGCCTGATGCATCCGCCCTCCCACTCACATGGCCATGGGTCAAAAGCCAAACTGTACCCCCAGTGAACATCCCAATCCCCACTAAAATAGACTACCTACCCCAAAATGGTACCATTGGTTTTGACCCACAGTCAAATGTGCTACTGTGAAAGCTTCTTATCGGGGAGAGTCAGTTTTGTATCTTAGGAACTCTTACATTGGTTGTTTGACTCCTATTAAGAGGTTATCCCCGTAGATCTATGTCGTGTTCGGGGGGGGCCTCCAAAAGCGGAAGAGTTGTGGCATGCCTATTCAGTGGGAGACCCCTGACAGATGTGTGATTGGATGCTCTGTTGGTCTGGGCCGCGGATTCGCGGCCGTTCAATGCTTTCCCTTTCAAGGACGAATGGAGTCTTGTTTCGTGCCATTTTAAGTTGTCGCTTTGATGGATGATGCATTGCCTTGCATGTAAAACCTACAACACTCTTCGGCAAAACTCTCCTGCAAGATTCTGCAACCGCCCGCGACTTGAAACAGCGGATTGCTCTTTAGGTCAAAACTCTTGCAGCAAAATCACCACATGGCAGAGCATCACCACGTAGCACATTGCCACTTTTGTACACGACCCATCTTTCCAGGCTTTTTGGTGACAGATAAGCATCAGCCCTGAAGAAGGGGTCCCCATGTTGGCAGGGGGATGTCTCTAAATCGTGCTTTGGCATCCGAGAAAAAAACTGTCAGTGAACATAATTCGTCTGAAAAGTTGAACCTGACAAAGGCCTCACTTGGTAACGTGATCCAGAGATGGAATCTACTTAGACGTTTCCCGCGTTTGCAGTATGGTGACTGCGCCATAGAAAACTTCGCACATGCGCATCCTTCCTGAGCGCGCCATGCTGGCCTGGCCAAGCCAGCGGCGATGACAGAGGCAGGGCAGTTGTAAGCTGCACGTGCGCTGTTGTGGGACATCACTGTGGCGAACAGTTTCACGAGTTAATGCTCTCACAAGGGTTCCTGGCGCATAATGAGCAAAACAAAATGTGATTTCTGGATGCAGAGGGTCCCAAACCGCAAACTTGTGTGTGTGTGTGTGTGCGTGCACACCAACAGCATTGGAAAATAATGATGATCCCCTCAACAACGAGTTGCTGAAGTGTCTTCTTTGCTGGCTGGCTGTGCCTGATGCAACATGCAGCTGGTGTCATACAGCACGCATGACATAGCGCTCATTCGGCACCATGCACAATGTGTGGCAGCCACCTCGCACGCAGCTGGCGGGCACGCCATACAATGTCGGAGAGGAAGGACCATAGCCCAAAGAAGCTGGTTTGGGGGAACCGATTTCAATTGAGGTGGTTTGCCTGCACGCGGCCTTGAGTGCTTGATTGGTGTGTGCGCAGTGTGCAGCACGAAAGCAGCGCGTGCTGGCGTTTTGTACTGCATGACTTGCATTTGCGACGAGTGCTAGGTGCTATATGCAGTGTGCAAGTGCCATGGACTCTCTGCTCAGTGATCATGGAAAGCGGAACACACAGCAGACTGTGCGCGTTGCAACACCATGGGGCATGGGCAAAGACTTGGGTATGTGTTGTCGAGGGTACGCGTTTTGGGATCAACCCAAAGATAGCGTACAGAGACGCACATACACAAGCAACTGTCACACACGCACGCCGGAAGCACGCACGCATGCACACACGTAAGTAGTTGGTGCACGTGAATCCCCACCTAAATGATGTCCACCAAACGATCCCCGTTTAAACTTCATTCCCATGTGTAACAAGCGTGCCCTGCATGGCTTTTCCAGCTTTGGCTGTCTGGTTTGCAGCTTGTTTAAGCAGGCCTAGCAACCGAGGTGCAGCGAGCAGATGGACTGGCGTGGTGCGCTGACAAGGCAAGTGATGCCAAGGAAACTCCGTGGAATGATTGGGTATGTGCGGGCACCCACCACAACCACCCATGCAGGGTTTGGCAAGGAGTGCTTGTCACAACTGCTTGTCATAGCCATGACTGTATCTGGGTCCCTTAAATGACACATTCGAGCGAGTCAAGGACACCCAAACACCGGCTGATTCACAGGATTGACAGGTGTGTGTTTCAATCCTGCCAGAACGACAGGCCCCGTGAGCTATCGGGTTTTCCGCGGGCTGTGGAGTTGGGATTCTGGTGAACGTGTGCGTGATCAGATGGAGGGGCCTGACATGCATGAGATGGTTCCTGGGATAGCCCGTCCTTGAGATGCAAGGAAAGCCTCAGAGTGACGGAGACCAGCACGCCCATTCCAGCTTCTGCTGGTCTTCAAGGAATCCTTGGCCCCCGGAAATCTTTTGGAAATCATCGAATTGTCCATTGAACCCATGAAAGGTGCTGGTTTTTGCCCAGGGGGCAGACTCACTCAGCTAGGAAATGGCGTCACTCTTTGGTTCATCCCAGCGCAACTACATGCGAAGTCCTTTGCTCTGCGCCTTGCAGATGGGCTTGAGATGGTATCTGCACAACTCAGCCTTCAGAGTCCTCAGTGCATCATGCCAACATTAACATCGACAGATCGGTTGTGCAGTGTGCGGTAGGCAGTTATGTCAAGTTGGCGGATGTTGAACTTTAGTTTACGCTAGCAGGAGTCTGCTGTGCACAGGAAACATGTTGACTAAGATGGAAGCTATGTGTCGCATGACAGCATCCTGCCTTTTTTTGACCTTCTTTTGCAATGCCACCTCAATGTCACACGCTACAAAAAGTCAGGAAAGAGACCACCAGCCCTACCCAGAGCGCCTTGGCTTCCCTACTCTCAGTGGACACAACTCTTCAGTAGGCGCTCATCCCAGAATTCCCGAAACTTCATCCATCCTGGGATGTTGCCCACCCACCGAAGTCCTTCGACCTTCTCCCCATGTGGCCATGGGTCAAAATCCCTAGTTCCAGTGAACATCCGATTCAATCCCCACTAACATAGGTTCTAAGATGGGTGGTGAATTCACCTACCAACCGAAATGGTACCACAGCCACGTGCTTGAGGCTCCCGGGCGCGCCCGCGACAGCCGCGACGGCCATCGGCCTTTGCTGCCGCGCTGCGGCCTGGCGGCCCGCGGTGGCGCTGCTGTGGGATCTGCAGGAGACGGCCTCTCCAGTGGTTTGGGGCGGTTTGGGGCGGGGGGGGCGGATGTGGCTCCGAGTTTTACTGAGAAAGACCTCAACAGTGGTTGGTGCCTTATGATCAACAGTTTGGCCAAGCCCTTGTGTAATGTGCACTATGTGACTCTGTCTCAGGCACAGCTTGCTTTTGGCTTCCTGCCCGCCAAACCGCGTTGGCATGCAGGTGAAGATGGGGGTTCTTGGGATGCTGCAGCTTGCGGGATGTAAGCTACATCCATTTAGTGCCAACATCCGAAAGGCTCCAAGCCAAGCTTGCTTGGCTGGGCTGGCATGGGGGCATGCGTTGGTAAGCGCGATGTGCATGTCAAACGAGCCTGACATTTTCTTTTTATGTATAATATATATATATATATATATATAAATGTATGGCTCCGGTAGGGTCTGAGATATTCATGAATGGTTTTGCTTGTTGGCAGCAGCCAGGGCTTTCTCACGGGCCGATCTTGGGATTGAGATCGCTGTATCAAACAGCGGCATAGCTGCGCTTGGCACTGCGCGCTCCTAGATCTCGACGCTCCTAAGCAGAAGGAAAGCCCCCATGGGAGGGTCTTGCCTGATACTTGAGTGAAGAATTGCTGACCATCTCTTGACATCATTCGTTTAACACATGTGGACCATAGCCTCAACATATGCTTGGCGGGAAACCTGAAGCCTCACCTTGCCGGCTTGCGACCCAAAGGTCCGTGGCTGGAATGATGGAGGGACTTGCTGCCTGTCCCTCGCTATCAGCACCAAACCTATCATGTCTTGATGTGAAGGCAAACCATGATCCCACCGCATGGTCTACAATGATAATTCTGGGTGTCCTTTGAGGCCCATTTGGTTGAACATACGTAGATGGCATTGGCTTCAGTTTGGTTCGATTCGTGAGCCATGTTTTCCACAGGAACACCTAGAAATCACAACTAACTTTTCTTCTTGAGGAACCTTTTGTGGGTCATTCAAAGAGGAACCAAAGCGAACATCGATGTTAACAAAAGTCACGTTCGGCTTGATTCCAAACGCGCCAGGAGCACCGCGCGCGTGCCGAGACCGTTGCTTGCAATGCTGCAATTGCTGCGTGTAGCGGCTCGGCGCAGAGGGCTGATACCAGGACCCCCGGCCGAGCAGCGGCGTTTTCTGGCCACTGGAGATCTGCAAGTGATGTGCAAAGGTGTCCTATTTAGGATAGTGTGGTCAAAAATAGAAGGCGCAGGTTTAGATGGGTTTTAGTCCATTCACCAGGGCCAGCTATTTTTCCAAAAGGCCACCTATGGTGAGGTGTTCGAAGGTTGTCATCAGGATGGCCCCCATTTTTGTATCACAGAAAGGGTCAGTTTTTCCGCCCGAGGGAGTTGGCCGCCAAATTTGCATTGGTGTAGGTGCCAAAACGCCAAAGGACAAAAAGCGGTCTTTTTCCTGGAAGCCCAGTGGAGCACAAACATCAAACAATGATGTCGCCCCTACCCAAATCAATTTTGAAATTGAACGATGTTTGCTTTTGCGCTTCCCAGCTTCCACCGACATCCGCTCTTCGGCCGGCCTTTTCGCCCTGATGAGCGAGAAAAACCCAGGCCGTGTGCGGTGGCAAAGCTCCGTGCAGCTTCTGGGTGCGATGCAGGACCTGGATGTGAGCGCCTCAGCGGCCAGCGACGGCCATGGCCGGTCGGGGGGGTTCCACATTTCAAACGTTGCGAGTGTCCCCCGCTGGAGAAAGGTTCCAAGAATAGGAAACAAAGCTCAGATTGGCCAATTATTCTGGGTTCTGGGTCAAAGACTGTTTGGGGCTACTTTGGATGGTGATGGACCCCTTGATAAGGAACTGAGGCTGCCATGCCTCCGAGATGTGGCGCGGGAGCTTCTGGTCCATGCGAGCTCTTTCACTTGTGGTGGTGCGCAAGCTGTGCATTTAAGAGGGGTGGTTCTTCATTTGGCCGTGGCTAAACACCAATGGTACCATTTTGGGGTAGGTGCACCACCCATTTTAGTTTATTTTAGTGGTTGGATTGGGATGTTCACTGGGGGTACGATTTGGATTTTGACCCATGGCCATTTACGCGCCCTCTTTGCCTCGGACAGGGGCTACTTGTAGTCATGCGCTACTCGCCTTTCTCAGCGCATGATCGGGAGCGTGTTGTGTCTTCGGGCGTAGGAATGATAAAAGGATGTTCGCGCTTTGTGGGCGGATTTCTCCTGAAGCTCGTAGGGAGCGCCTGCCTGGCTATCTTTGGGCCAGGTTTTTTGGCAGGCTGCCGAGGTCTCTGCTTGTGTTTTTCATTGGGCGCTCGCGTGCCATGTTTGGGCGTTTGGGCTGCCACGGCGCTGCTTATGCCTTGTTGTGGGCTTTGCCCTCTGTGTTTCATGCCTGCCCCGCGACATCGACATGTCCGCCAGCGTGTGATAAGGGCCCTGCCGTTTTCCCTGATTCGATTCATTGCAGTGCTTGAACAGCGATTTCATGTGCTCGATTCGGCTGTGTTTTTGTACTAGGGGACCCCGAAAATGGTGGTCCTCCTCTTGGTTTCCCTTTAATCATGCCCCAAAAAGGGTTCCCTGAAAAAATCACCCACATTCAACTCACCGGCTTGACAAAATGGCATTGGGGCTGGCCTTCTCCGAGCGAGGAGTGAACTCCATCAGCCTCACCTCTGCCGCGCGGATGGCATGGAGGGGGGTGGGATGAATCTGGACGCCCTTGTTCAACTTGGTCATGTTGACGGCCGTCATGCATTTACTGAGTGTGCGAGGCGAACATGCAGGTTGCTTCCCAGGAGTTCACTCACTGCCAATGATTCCAGGCAGAAGAGTCGATCCAATCGTTCATTGTTCACCTTGCTGAAGGAGCAGCTTGATGAGTTAGAGCGGTTGGAGAACTGCGACCACATCAGTGGCACCCTCAACCAGCATTCATCCCAGAACCATCCTGGTTCTCCATCCATGCGTGGACCGCATGCGTGTGAGAAGCTGAGGCGCTGAGCGCCTGTAAGCCACGCTGGCGTCTCGCCTCCGAGGCCCTGGCAGCTGCTCGCAGCAGAGGCCGGGGTCAAAGTATTTATTAACCAATGGTTACATAATCAAGCTTTATTTAAACACATTTTTTTGTGGACGGGTAAATCATCAAGCAGCGCTTCTCATCCTGAGCCAATGCACTCCACTTGTGATGTTTGAACCCCAAAGCCAGTCCCAGGACTGCGGCCGAACCTCTTCGCGCGCAGCGCCGCCGCGAGCGGCGACGGCGCCGGCGACGGGGCGGCCTGGCGCCGGGCGGCGCAGCTGGCGGAGGCGGACGCGGTGTCGGTGAACGGCGCGGTGAGCGCCTGCTCGAGGACGGTGATGGCTGTGGGTCAAAACCAATGGTATCCCATTTTGGGGGTAGGTGAATTCACCACCCATTTTGGAACCTATTTTAGTGGGGATTGACTTGGATGCTCACTGGGGGTACGATTTGGATTTTGACCCATGGCCTGATGGCCACAGCGAGATCCCTCAAACGGCCTGTGATGCTGAGCTGCTGCGCGCAGGGCTGATGGGTTCAGAAGGCGGCTGCTGGTTTTTGTTGATGATGCTGATGCTGCTGACGCTGCTGACAAAGAAAGGGTAGGACCGGTCACGAATGACCAGAACTTGCACAGAGCATTCATTGCTGGTTGGCCAGTTCTGGAGTAGAATGACAGGATTGGTTTGAGTGACTGCATATTATTGATTTTTTCCCTTTGACATACTAGGTGGTGACTTTGACAAAAGGCTTTGTCTCCAAATAGGGGAATCCCCAAGGTGATTTCTCTTGAACTCCTTTCAAACCACTTGGGAATTACCAAACAGGAGCTGCAGAAAGTTGTGTGGCAAATCGGCCCACTTCCCCCAGTTTTTATGCGCCATGACCGGTGGGAACCGCCGAATCCGTAGGAGCCGGTCCTGGACGGAGGCCTTGGCGTTGAGCTTCGGGTTGAGCTCCGGGGGATTCAGAGCCTCCGGGCGCTCCTTCGCCTCCCTCGCCGCTGCGATGCAGGGCCAGCGAGGCCGGAAGAGCTTGCTGGTGCGAGAGGTAGGCTAGGCGGTTTCAACTAGGTGCCCTGTTACCGTTTCTTTTTTGGGGGAGGGGTCCCCTACTAAAATAGGCTACAGAAGGGGTACCGTATTCCAACCTCGCCACTGGAGGACCTGGTAGGGAATGTGGGAATGGACTCAGGGGTCCCACAAGGGATGGTTTATAAGGGGCATCCCTCCTTCCCTGCTGAGCAGCAGCAAGAGAAAGATGTTCCGAGTTGGCGCTTACAAAGTCAAGTCCTCCGAGGACATGTTTTCGATGGCAAGGTCTATGCTCAGATGCATGTCAGGTGTGAAATAGGGCTAATGTTGGAGGCAGTTCTGAATTGTGCTGATGGTCCCTGGGAGGGTGGGCTTGGATGATGCTGGGAATATGCATGGTCCCGGCCGTGCTTCTTGACTCCTGTCAAGTCAAGGAACAGTCCATTCTAGTCTCCGCAGTGCCTTGCCAATTGGAGGCTCTTGAGGTCGTGTCGTTTTGAACTCATAGCTTCAATGAAAGGGTGATCCAAAAGTGTAATCCTTGGCATCTGCATGACCCACCCACTCAACCCCATCCCACCCGCTCTGTCCTCACCAAATCGCTCCCCCTGCCCGCCCAGCTGGATCGGACCTGCTTTTTGATTTCTGTTTCGTTTGTCAACCAAAAGGGTCCCACTAGGGTACCATTTTTGAGGCTCCGTGCCCTTGTTGGGGATGTTGGTACATCGAACCCTGGCAAGTGGAAACATGGACCAAAATCCGCGTTTGCCCCTCCTGTTTAAATTTGAGCCACCCCCAAATTTCTATTCCTCACGCAGGCCAGTGGTGCTGCTCGCTGCACGTCTTGCGGGCGGCCCACCACGCAAGGCTGCTGACAAAGGAGCTGGCAGCCGCGGTTGCTGCAGGCACATGAGCCGCTTTGGGTGGGGTCAAGGGGATGACAGAAAACCAAAATGGGTATGGGTCAAAGCCCTGATACCCTTTTCTTGGCAACTCCCCTTTTGTGAATTAAAAACGGGAATTGGGGGGGGGCAGGGTTTTGACCAGCCAAACTGGGTCATATGCCATCTACTTTCACCCAGCATCTGGCCATGCGCCGATCGAAGGTTAGGGCTAATGGAGTTCTTCAAGGTTGGCTTCCCCTAAGCGCCCAGAGGCTCGGTCCCCTCAACACAAGACGCCCACTTCAAAGTTGAAGGGGTTGAAGCAAACCTCGCGGTCAGCGGCCGCTGGATTTCCAGTTTGTAGACCACTGGCAATCACTCATTGCAACAAACCAGCTGGGGAACTTTGCTCCTCTCGCCTCACATTGGGCACGTCTCTTTTTTTGGTTGGAAAAATTGGTTGGAAAATTGGACAATGCCCAAAAGCGCTTTTTCCAAGCTTGCCAACCGACAGATTCCCCATGTAGTCCAAGGCCAGCTGTCGGTTCAGGCTGCTGTCGGGTTTGGACCTGGGCGCTGCAGCTGGCGCCCTTCTGGCGTGCCACTGGCGAGGCGTCCGACGGCGCGCTGCTGGGGGCGGCGGCGCAAGGCGCCGGCCTGGCGTGGCTTTGGCGCACAGCGCTGGCAGTCAGGTCGGGGGGGAGGGGGGAGGGGGGATGGTGGACACTTGGGGTCTATGTTGCAACCATTTTGTTCGGGGGCTCCCTTGTTTTTCACCCTCCAAGCTTGTTTTCAAAAAGTTTGGAGGGGGAAAAAAAGGTTCCTCGTTTGTTTGGGGTGATTTGTTTGGAGTCTTCAAAGTAGACTCGTCTATGGCGCGCCAAAAACGCCACCGAGCCGCCAACCTGACTGCGCCCTCCCTCTACTTCAGCCCAGTCAATGCTCCAAGCAAGCTTCAAGATAGCTCGAGTAAACCAACACAGCGCAAAGTACCCCAAGAACAGTTTGGGGACTGTTCGTGTGACTGTTCACAATGAACACCAGGTGTCAAACCATGGATTCGGGTCTCAGGGCCAACGTGTGTGATGCCAAAATGGATTTCCGTTCAAAGTGAGAAAGTGGTCGTGGGAATCAAGCACTTTGGCATGGCAGAAAGCCGCCCATTTGCCATGGCCAGGTCGGATGTGTCCGTGCCGGAGACGGGCCTGTGCAACGTGGTCATCACCGCCTGCGCTCGCGCCGCAGAGGCGTTGGCAGAGGTTCTCGAAGTCAGACTCTGAGGTCAGTGCTTCTAACCTACCGCTTCAGGGTTATGTTTATGATGAAGGGAAAGATGTTCAGAAGCTACTGGCACCCACCTCGGGGTGTTTTTTTCATAAAGCGAAAGGCCCAGAGGCCAAGCTGATCCAAGGCGTGTGCTAAAGGAACTGCTTGCCCGTATATGGTTTGAATTGGTTCAGAATCAGTCCGTAAGCATGGTGTCCCTTGTCGTAGTGCTGTCCCACTCGGATTGCGGACTGCATTTTGCACAATCCAGTTTGACGTTTAGAATCAGATTCATTGGGTAAATCCCAAAACCTGTGGGCCCATCCAAAAACTGAGTTGTCACAACCTCCGAGTGCAACGAGCTTCACAGCGGGCTGGCTCTCAGGGAGTCTTTGGCAACAGACGATTGAATTCACAAAGACCATGTTTTTTGGGAGTCAAGGGCAAGCAAGCTTAAGTCTTGGGTATCCCAAAGAGAAGGCAGGTGATTGGGCTTGTCTGACCAGTCTCACCATTCTGGGGCATGTTTGTATTTGGAAGGTGGCAGTACACTGTCCACGAGCCAGTCATGCACAACACCAATTGTCCATCTCATCAGGAGCTTGCATTGAATTCCTTGAATGAGCGGCATTCTGATGGCTGTTAGATGTGCTGTCCTTTTGATCTACGCTGTTTTCCATAACAACTACGGTTTTTGGTGAACACAGGGTTGTGGGATCCGGTGCTTTTTTTCTTAGTTTATTACGGGGCTGGTCCGTTGGTTTGTTTGGTTGGTTGGTTGGTTGGCTGGTTGGTTGGTTGGTTGGTTGGTTGGTTGGTTAGCAACCCTAAAGCTGCTGCTAAACCAGCAGCACACCTATCACAAATCAGCTCCAAACCAACCCAAACCCACTCAAAGTCAACCCTAAACCCGCCCAACAGGCTGTGTCAGCCCTTCGCTTCGCCTAAATCAACCCCAAACCACCCCAAGACGTCCAAGTGATGCTGGTGATGCTGGGGATGTTGCCAGCCCTGCAGAAAACCAGCCTCAGGAAAATACCAGGGTTATCCGTTCAAAGAAGACAAAAAGAAACGATCCGAAGGGATACACATTGACTTGCATGGTGGCCAGGAAATCTCTTAAGAATGATCCAAAAGATCAGCAGCCGGATCACATGTGATTTCTCGCGCGCACCTTGTTTCCCTCTTCGGCACGCATCCCTTCTGCCAGCTGCGCCAAAGCTGCGCTTTGCTGCTGGAGATGCTGTCGGAGACTTCGCTGCGCCCGGACGTGCAATCCTTCAACGCGCTGCTGTGCGGGGTGCAGGAGACTCGGATGCGCGATCCTCTCAATCAGAACCGATTCGGGTCAGCGAAGGTTGGGAAGAGAGGGTCCCCACCAGAAAAATGTTTTGAGAAGGACAAGCGAACCACTGAGGACCTTGAGGATAGGGAGGATTGGGCCGTTTTTGAGGTGACTTGAGGCTTATAAAATGCAGGCGTGTATGCAGTGCTGAGCTTGTGCACAGCAGCGAATGTTCTTGTCACTTGCCTTTTTTCACCATTGCTGTGTCATTGGAGTGTCTGATTTCCTAGAAGATGCCCTTTCCCTTTCATTTCCCTTTCGTGCCCACTTTCCCTGGATTTCCCTTCATGTCCCCTTCATTTCTCTGCGATATGTTTTTAGACAAAGGCATGGAGAGTCCGGGAGTTGACCCCGTCGGAGCGGCGCTGACAATTGAACCTAGACAGTAGGCCAGGTGCCACAAACCAAACCAGAGAAAGCTGCCAGCCAACCAGTCCGGCCATTCAAGCAAGGTGCAGAAATGGACACACAACGCAAGGCCTATGCGAAGGGAATGTGATACCCCTACATCATGTGCCCCTGCCATTCACGCCCGAAGCTTATCTTTCAGCTTTCATGGCCAGAAACAGCGCACCTCTCTGACATCAGTGCAAGCCGAAGGAGGCTTGAATTTCCAGTCGAGCAGGTGTAGCGGCATCCCACGCCCTGCGCACAATGTCTCCTTCAGCGCGGTCTCTATGCTCCAACATTCTCTTTAGGCCCAGCTCCGCTTTGCAAAGAGTCTGTGCTGCAATGCAACTGCTGACAATCAAGTGTGTGGGCATGAATCGCCCGGCTCGGCGGGCTGCTGGGAGTCGCAGGGCATGGCAGCAGCAATGCGGCATCACAGCTAGAGCCCGCCGCCAGAGTTGCTTGGGCGCGAGCTTTGACTGCGCCGGCGCGGGTCTTAGTTCTGGAGGCGGCGTCGGGCGTAGCCTATGCGACAGGCGCCGCAAAAACTGATTCACCCTAAGCCCTAAAGCCAAAGCATTCGAAATCGTCCACCGTGCCAGCACAGCCAGCGAAGAAACAAGGGCAGCCAACATGCTTTGTGAAATGCTGTTTCACTCAACCGCTTACCCTGCTGCTGCATGATGAAGTTGCAAAACATAGATTTAAACCTTGCAAACGTTTGTCGAGCAAACCGTGAGCAAACAACAACATCCACGCGCTGGTTTCCATGAGCACCTTGTGGACAGAAGAGGCACAGGCCACAAGTCACAGGCTTTGCTTATGTTTGTGAATGGGAAATGAAGTTTCCCGTGCTTCCTTCTGAAAGAACTCTCACTTGCTTTGGCGATTATCCTCATCCTAAAATCCTCATGCTGATCGTCAACGTCATCGTCATCATCATCGTCGTCATCATTCATCCATCATGTATAAGTTTCTGCTTTGAACTTGCATCTTCTCTCCTGCCTTTGAGAGTTGGGTTTTCTCTCTGAACATTCTTGCTCTGAGGTGCAAATTCTGCATTGCTGCGAACCCATATTTTGACAGAGTCTTTGCTCTGATTTTGAATTGTGCGTTGCTGGACATGTTTTTTTTCGTCTAGAGTGTGAGGTTTTGGGCTTCGGTTTTTGTGAAGGGTTCGATTTGGTATGTGAGGGTTAGAATGGTTTGTGGGGTGTTGGATTGGTATGTGCGAGGGGTTGGATTAGTTTGTGTGGGTTGGATTGGTTTGTGGAAAGGGCTGCTGTCATTTGTACCCCTCCCTGCTTCGTGTCCTCCATTTCCCCTTTCCCCTTTATTTCCGCTTTTTCACTTCCTTTATTTCCTTCATGTCCCCTTCATTTGCTCTTCACTTCCAGGCCGGATTAGCAGCGTGATGGAAAGCGTTTGTTGTGTTTTTGTTTTCTCTCTTTCTTTTGGAGGGGGCGGCATGCAGATAGAATATCTTGGTATTTCAGAGGCCCCACTCACGTGCTGCCAATACCTTGCAGCACTCGGCAAACCAAATGCAAAATGGTCTCATAGTTGGAGGTTGTCGAATCTCATTAGGTTTCAAAAACTGGATCACGGTATCAGAGCAGGAGGTGGCAGGCCTCGGGAATTGTAATCGCTGAGCCGCGCAAAGTAAGTAGGGCTTGAATTCAAAATGAAGTGGGCCTTGAACAAAAGTGTCAAACATTCCGACATTCTGGACTGGACCGCGCAAAGCAAAAGTATCTAAACAATGCTGGTTCATTTATCAGGTCCTACCGGCATCAACAAGATTGAGACGATGCCTTTCGCCAAGAATCGTGTACTTGGATCTATCAAAAAGGAACTGGTGGTGTGTTCGTTTCTTCCCTAAGACTCGGATCTTTCAATAAATGGCTATGGGTCAAAAACTCGTCGCCAAAAAGGAACCCTGGTAAATGGACACAAGCACTAAAACCTGCAGTCCTCTGGTGGACTAATCTTGACCCATACCCAAATGGCCGTGGTTCAAAACCAATGGTACCATTTGGGGATGGGTGCACTGCCCATTTTAGTCTACTTTAGTGGGGATTGGGATGTTCACTGGGGGTACGATTTGGGTTTTGACCCATGGCCAAATCAGAACGCCAAGAAAAACTGGCTCCCCGCCGCACGTGGGTTCGTTCCATCGGTGCCCAGAGGAGTCCACTTGGCCAGCCGCTGCGGAAGCTGTGCATCGCTTGCGGCGCCATGGGCTGGTGCCGGACAGGCCCAACCCGCGGAGACGGGGACGACAAGCGGACAGCCCAATTTCCCCGTGTCTCCGGTCGCATGCCTCCACCCTGATGAGTAGAAGGGTATGTGTGGCAAAAAAACCGAGTCAAGGACCCCTGTCACCCGGGTATCCCAACCGGAATCAAGTGTGGCCTGTGGAAGTCTTTACATGGTTCTGGGTAGAGCATTTGAATACTAGGTTTTGAGTATGACTCATGTCCTCTTGAATTGTCTGGTCACATGACTCCACCCCGATGATTAGAAGAGTATGTGCCCGTGTCCAGCTCATTTTGCAAGGAATGTTAGATGCTCACATGAAAGCATTGCTTCAAATAGTAGTTTTGACAGACTCCCACCGAAAGGGGGGTCACTTGTTTTTGGCAACTGCTGCATTTTTAGCAGCTGCGCTCTCCGCTGCAGGCTGACGCTGAACAACGCCTGTGGTGCCTTTGGCGGGGCTCGGCAATGGCAGCAAGCTCTTTGGCTACTAGGACTGGCTCATCCACTTGGTGTCGAGGAAAGCAGGCAAAGAGGTCCCATGTTTGCACCGCCATTTGGAGCAAATGCGAATTGCACTTGCATGAGGCACACCATCAGAGTTGTGCAAAGTATGTCCCCATGTGGGCAGCATGAACTTGCCCCCCCTTTCGAGGAAGGCTGTTTCGTGTTGAATACTAAGACAAAGCACGGATGGAGGACCTCTTGTTGGGAAGGTGCTGTTTCTTGCTATTCCCCGTTGTCCCCCAAGAACCTACAATTGTGTGGTCCTTTGTCCCCATCCCAAGAACCTACCGATTTGGTGAAACTAGCGAACCAGCGCGGCATGTTTGTCTCTAACTTGGCGAAGCGCCACTGGACCTCTAACGGAACGGAGGAAGGACTCCATGGATTTGAGATCACTGAGTTACCGAGAGTCTCTCAGCCCCCAGGAGCTCCGCATTTTCCAGGTCCTGGGAACGTGGCCTACAACGCAGTCATGGAGGCTGTGGGGTGGGGATGCGACTGCATTCTTAGGGGTTGCTGCAACTGGGTCCACTGTAGGACGTCCTTCGAAACTACCCACAAAGCGATTTTGACAGACCCCAAAAATGCGACAATTGAAGGGGCCCAGTCCGAATTGAACTGATTGAGCTGTTGTTGTCCTGTCGGTGTCCTCACGACAGCCACCAGAAAGAAGGAAGAACAGGCATGCCCCAGCATATCCAAGTAAGAAGCGGATCATGTTAGCCCGATACGGGATGGATCCCTGCCAAGGAACGAAACCCCATCCAGCCTTGTAGACGCCGCATTGTCTGGGTCAAACGAAAGGGGGCTGTTGACATGGGAAATCTGTCCCAGCCCAATGATTCTTTCTTTTGGATGACACATTCTGGTGTCACTGGGAACCGAAGTGGAATGGATGGTTTCCTCACGGGGTGATCGCTCCGAGGAATCGGGGACGCTGCATGTGTGATTCTTCTTTTCAGGAGCACTGCACATTCTGGCGAATCATGCTGGTGGTTAGGATAAATGTCACGTCGTTATACAAGGCACAACTTAGAATTGGGCCTGAAGCCAGTGCGAGCGCTCCACTCTGACACCAGCCTTTCCGCATCCGAATGAAGGGGACCATGGTCAACCTGGGCCCATAAACTAAAAGGCAACCCCCCCCTTGCAGATTAACATGGAACCCAAAACGGGGGAGTCCATTGAAAGGACCTCTACAAATGCTGGTCTTGTGGGTTCCAGGATAGTCTCCTTTTGTGGGTTCCAGGATAGTCTCCAGGGAACCAATCAGAAACGTGGAGGTCACAGAAACGGCTGGGCTTGGGCAAAACCAACGGGTCTACTTCCTTCAAGCGGAGGCCTGTGGACGGCGACCTGTGGCACTGGCAGTCTTCCAGCAGATGCTGGGCAGAGGAGGGGCTGCGAATCGGTCGGGCAGTTGGAAGCAAAGAAGGGAAGCGGGGGTGGGGGGGGGGGGGGCAGTTGATAAGTAACCCCAACCGGCCGTCTATGGGGGGTTTCTGTTTTTGATCTGAGGTGCCGGATTTATGGGTTGAGAAGGCAGCTTTGGGGCCGATGCAAGAATCCCATGCTTTCAAAGCAACGCACCTGTGGATTCTGATTTCATTGACCTGGTCTATTGGAAAGGTGCATCAAGCGAACGCCCTTGAAATGTCCCCCCAGTGCGCGCACATTCCTCAAAATGACGATCAACAGAAAGTGTCCTTCAGCGGAAGACAGTATTCGGGTACGCAAGAAAATCCGAATGATCATATTGCCGGCCAAGATATCGTTGGATTGCAAATGCACACTGTGGATTGATTCCCTGAATGCAAGCAAGCAAGTCGGCGCATTCCGGAGTGTCCCTCTTGCAAATTGAGGAATTTCGAGGAATTCTTCCCATGAGGACGGCAAGAACACTGGCAAACACCCCCACCCCCACCCACCCCCACCCCTACCCCCACCCCCACCCCACCCCCACCCCTACCCCCACCCGCACCCCACCCCCACCCCCCCACCCCCACCCCAAAAAGCACGTTTTTGCTGGGGGGGGGGGTTGCTGGTGAACATCTTTTGCCCTTGGGAGGCCTTCGCGCAGACGTGCCTCGAGACGAGAGTAGATTCCTTTGGTCAGGGGCTGCCGGTGTAGCCCCTGAAAATGGTTGCCTCTTTTGCTGGGAGGCCAGGCGCTTCCCTCGGCGAGATACCACCGAAGTGTGGAAAGTTATGTTTGGGGCAAGTACACTCAGGGCTGCCCTTGATGTGTCACACACTTGCGGGACCTATGGAAACAATGAACATGGATGGCAGAGAACAGCATGGATTAAATTCATGGGGTAAATGCCGTACTTAAAACACAAGAGGCACCCAAACTGACTTCCAAGCACCGCACTGATGTGCAAGCCTTTGTTGTGCTGATTGGTTGCTTCAGCTTGTTTGCGTGCTGCATGTAGCCGCGTTCAGTTTCTAGCATATGTTGTGCGAACTTTGACGCAAATTATGTTTGCCCAGCAAGCTAACTGTGAGTAAGAGAGGACTGTGCCGTGCTTGAGGAGTTTGAGTAAAATACCGGCCCAAGCAAAGGCAATGGGGTTGTGGGGTACTATTAAACCAAAATGCCTTATGATCATAGGGGCATCATGTTTGTCAGTGTTCAGACTCTTACATATGATCTGCTCTTTGGCAAAGAGGGCATCGTGTCACCTGAGAACTGCTCACTGTCACATTTTGAACAGAGTGACTCTAGGCCCTGCAATACATATGGTATGGCCACATGCTTGCGGGCGCAGGTAGTCAGCTTGAACTCGATAGCGCGGAGCCATTGCCGAAATCAGCTGCCAAGCTTTCTGGGCTCGTGATATGATGCGTTTGCTTGCTGTCAGAAAGGAGGTTCAGCCAAAATGTCCAGTTTGCGAGGGAGAAGGGGGCACTCACTAAAGTTTCAACCACGAAATTGGGGGACTCACCAAGCAAATGTCCGATATGCCGAGGTGACTGCCCTATGCCTTGCTGCAGAAGCTGCTGTGGCCAGGCGGGGTGGGCTTGGAGCCCGGACTGCAGCTTGGTAAAAATATCCCAGTTGTGTCTAGCACTTTGGGGAGGAGAAGGGGGGCTCACTACATACTTTCCTGTAAATGATCTTGGAACCCACAAAGAGTGCCATGTTAATCTGCAGGAGAGTAACCACAAACAATCGGGGGACTCGCGAATCTGCGTGAAGTTCCTGAAATGAAAAGTAGTCTTTGGAATTGGCCATAAGACAATCTAAGGTTGGCTTTGTTTTGTAGATGGTAACAACGTAAGTCTTCCTAACCAGAAACAGAGTAACAGTGAAACTGATTGCCACTCGCACCATCGCCTTTCTTTGACTGTAGACAAGCAGCACTGAGTCTGCAACAATTCTGACATGTCAGACATGCAACGCCTATGGTACGCAGAACTGGGCAAGCTAGAAGATCCGAATCAAGCAAAAGTCCGAGACGAGGACCTCCGTGTTCAGCCATGTTTGCAACAAGCAACAAGGGATGTATACACTTATCTATGGGTGTCAAGTTTGCTTGGGGACCCTTTGGTCTGCATTATTTACATGGGCATTGTGTCCAGAACCCCCCCCCCCCCCCCCAATTTGTGGAGGGGGCTCCATATCCCGAATCCGGAGCCACACAGCATGGCTGCTCGGGAGCGTGCCGGGTCGCCAGGCTGGGGGTGGCCTGCGTGGGCCTCCTGGCCCGCGCGGAAGGCGCGGCGCTGGCCGACCTCCGAGGAGCTGCGGGCGGCAAAGCGCTGCGTGGCTGGGTGCAAAAAAATGGTTTGCTGGGAAGAGTCTTCTTTTTTGGCCTGGCTTTAGCCACCAGGGGAATTGCCATTTTGAGAAACACCCGAAAGAGGTTTGCTGGGAAGAGTCTTCTTTCTTTGGCCCGGCTATTGGCTTTTTGGGGGAATTGGCATGTTGAGAAATCCGCGAAAGAGGTTTGTTGTGAATGATGTTGTGTGATGGATTTGTGAGATTGTGGACGATTTTTTTCTGGGGAGGGGGGGCGGGGACAGGAGAAAAGACTTGCGCTGCTTTGCGTTGCTTACTCGACTCGGGAACCAGTGTTATTTTTTTTAACTAGCCCCGCTCGGGGCTTAACCCCGGCTAGGAGGCTGGTTGGTTGGGTGGGTGGGTGGTTGGTTGGTTGGTCGTTCGGCTGGGCGCATCCCCGGCATCACCAGCATTTCCGGTTTCTTGTCAGGCCTGCGTGGGATGACTTGATGGTAGTTGACAGTTGCTCGGGCTAGCCGGCCGCATCGCCAGCGTTACTGGCCTCGCTCGGACGAGAGCTGCCTGTTGGCTTTGATTTGGTGGCAGTTCAGGGTTGCTCGGGGCTGAGTGTTGGGCTTGAGGAGGTCTTAATGAGGGCGGGTCTTGGGTTTGTTTGGGCGTTGCCACAACCAATCCCCAACCAGCCCAAAACAGTACACACATCCCGCAAACCCGCATCATCGCTTGCATAACTACGCCCTGAAGCAACCCAAAAGCCGCGGCTAAACCAGCCGCACACCCAGCACAAATCAGCCCCAACCAAGCCAAAACCGACCCAAACCCTCCCAACCGCATCCTGCATATCAGCCGTTTGCCGCGCCTAAATGAACCCCAAACAAACCCAAGACCCGCCCTCGTTAAGAACTACTCAAGCCCAACACTCAGCCCCGAGCAACCCTGAACTGCCACCAAATCAAAGCCAATAGGCAGCTCTCGTCCGAGGCCAGTAGCGCTGGCGATGCGGCCGGCTAGCCCGAGCAACTGTCAACTACCATCAGGTCATGCCCAATACTCGCCCTGACAAGAAACCGGAAATTCTGGCGATGCGGCCACCAACCCCCAGCCAACCTCTTTGGAGGCAGGCCTTGTGCCGAGCCGGGGCTAGTAAAAAACAAAAACACCTCAACCCTCGACTTGATGTTGCCTGCCTGCCTGTCTGCCTGCCTGCATGCTTGCCTTTGCTCGCTCGCTGGCTGGCTGGCTGGCTTGCTTGCTGTCTTGCTTGCTTGCTTGCCTGCTTGCTTGCGTGCGTGCGTGCGTGCTTGCTTGCTTGCTTGCTTGCTTGCTTGCTTGCTTGCTTGCATGCTTCTTCTGCTTCTGCTTCTTCTTCTTCTCCTTCTCCTTGTGTAGGGATTCTTCTTCATTTGGCACGTTTGCGTGTTCTTGGCCCTATCGGTCGCTTTGTTCTGGTAGCTGGCCTATCAAACTCATTCCCTACAGCTTGCACCATGTGCTTGTTGGCCATGTTCAAGGAAAACAATTAGCTGGGGGCAGGGGATGGTCATCAGCCTTGAAAGCTTGACAACTGAAGCAATGATTCCCGTGCACGGAGCCACGACCATCCTCTCAAAATTGTTGCAGCATGGAGTTATTTACTTCACCGCTTTGTGTTGTTCTCCAGGGCGTGCTTTGTTTGGCAGAGGCATTTCGATTAATCCTGGCACAAAGGATCCGAGGTGAAGCCAGTCCCTGTTCTTCCTGAAGTAGCCGGTTTTTCTTCCCCCACCTGTTCGCATTTCTCCAATCAGCACTGTCCTTTTCACTTTTCGCTGATGAGAGCTGCGTTCAGTTGCCTTCCGGCTCCTTTGTCTTGTTCCTGCTTGTTGCATGCTTTAATTCGCGCGTTGCTCACGAGTCACAGCTGGCACCGACGCGACCAGGGATGTGATCCTGCATGACATCCATATGTTGACTCGCTCAAATCAGAGCTGGACCTTGCTATAGTTTGCCTTTCGTGCTCCTACCAATGCTTCCCACCAACCCTTCACAAGAGAACCTTGGACACTCCTACACAGATGCATTTGTGGCGGTCGAGCAAGGGCATGGCAGACCATACTCATACGCAGGGCTGTTAGGAACTCCAATTAGAAACATAAACATTTGCACTTGGTCCAATCGTCGGATTGTTGCAAACGTCGGCGACGCATCAGACGATGCAACTTGAGTCTCATGGGTTTTAGCCTGCCATGAAGCGGAAGAAGAGCGTTGCGGAAGCGGTGGAGCAGGCATGAGAAGGGAGGGTGAGAAGGGAGGAGATTGGCTCGGTTTAGATTGTCCAACAAACCCGCAATTTCGACGAAACAGAGTGCAGAACAGAGTGTTCCATGGGTACAATGTTTGCTTTATTGAACATGGTATGATTTCCGTTAAAGATTGACTTTCCAGACAGGCTTGAGTGCAAGCGAGCGGACATTTTCTCTCAACGTCGGAGCTAGAAAATCTGGCCGCCGAAGCAGTGGAATGATTACCGGTGTCCTTGGGCTGCGCCAGTCCCAGCCATTCAATGTCACACATGGGGGCCATGCTTTTCCGCCTTTTCAGCCGATTTAGACATCACCGTTATATAGACCAATTTCAGCTGAGTTGTCTGGTGGAGTGATGTTTAAGGGCACGTACCCCCCCCTTACAACCTGGACGATTTTGCGGCGCTTTTGGGTTACAGGGCCGCTGCCCGGAAACGAACTGTTTCCTTTTGTGACTTGAACTTCTGATTGTTGGCTTGGCATTTTCGCCTCCCCTGTTTTGCGCCTGTGCGCTTCTCCCTGTGTGGCATTCTCTCACCTTGTGACTCGCAAGAAAGGCCTCCGGCGACACGGCCGCCGCGCCCAAGATGGCGCGGGCCTCGAAGTTCCGTGCGTCTCAGCATGGCAAAAGCCCAGGGAGATCCGCCGTTGATCCCGAGCCTGGGCCAGGGGCAAAGAACAAAGTTTTGTCGCGGGACCTGTTTGTTTTCACCCGAAAGCCCCGTACAAATAGCCAAATGAAACCGCAGGTGGTGAGGTCTGTGAGTTTTGAGACCTAGGGCCCAAAGTCTCCGTTTGGTTTTCAGGTTCTCCAAAACTGGATCGCTAGAGCTCAGATGCGCATGCAACTTACAACTTGAGACCATCGCCCCTGGCCCCACTCTGGCCTTTTCAAGCGCGGCAAACATCGCGCCTGCAGGCCTGATGTCGACATTGCACGATTGATTCGGACCCCGCGGTCCTTACCCTTGCCCAGTTGGTTGTGGTTTGCCCAACGAGTTTCACCGCCTCGGTGTTCAGGCCAAGTGGCAGAGAGACCGCCTGGTGCGGCTGAACCAGGCGTGGCGGGCCTGACAACTTCCAGTGTCAAAGTCAGAAGCTGGGATTTGTTTTGTTGTTCGCCTGAACCAAGAGGTACAAAGGCTTCAGACGCACGCATTTGATCACATGTGAGGTGCTGCTTTGAAGCCTGACGGATCAATGTGGGCAACCACGGAAAACAGAGCGCCCTCACAAAAGACCGCAATTTAGGGGGCGCTGTTGGGTACTTTTCTTTCGAGGGAAAGCAAAGGTTCACCACCCTTCCCGGGCCTTCCCCCATTTGGAGCCAAACACAAATGCCTTGAGAGGCCATTGCAAAAGCCGCGCGCTTCAAGAAGATGAAGCAGGTCCCGCCCGCCGGGTTCCAGAATTGTGGGCCAAAAGGCTGGCAGAGCATTTGGAGTAAGGGAACTGAGCATATGACAAGAACCAGCGAATTGAAGGATATGTGCAAGGAGCCCTAGGAATCTAGCGAAACACGACATTGCCCTCGACAACGAGCGTGAAATCTTTGCGCACGTGAAAGGTCCCAGCAGTCTTGGGGTTGCGGAGTGATCGAACACCACAAGCTTCGGCTCTGGGTAGCCGGCAAGCAAGCACGCGATGGAGGAGCCAGCCCTGTCCTACGGGGTGCGATGTTTTACAAGCCTTCTCGCGCACGCTTGTGTTCGGAGCACACTAGATCCTACTGTACCTGTAAGAACCTGCGGGAGTAGCTTGTGGACAAATAACTTGATCAGTTAGTTGCAGTTGTCAGAATCACAATATGCCTTCAAGCAGATTGACAAGGCAGCAGTGGCCTTGCGGGTTTTCTTCCAAGGTCAGATTTGCTCCCCTTGACATACACGAAAGCTGGCCCTAGAGAAAGTAGCTGCCTTTCCATGAAAGCACAGCTGAGGACGTTCCGCCTGGTGCCAATGATTGTTGCCCGTTCTTTGCCAATCTTGGGTGCAAGCTTGAGTTGGTTGCTCCAAGTGCTTGGTCCACAGACGTCAATCTGAGCAGCTTCTCACAGGGAAACAACAACTTCATTTGCTAAGCATCCGCCATGCCTGGCATTTCGATTGGCTTGAGTTGAGTTCGGGTGTCCCTCCTGAAACGGCACAAAAAGCAGTTCGAGTGCCATCTTTGCATGCAGATCTCCCCGCCAAAAAAACTCCTGCGTAGCTCTGACACGGTTTGGCCACCTCTTCGCCATGGGCAGCTGTTCAGATGCGGCGGGACAGGCTTTTCACGCGGAGGCCATGGTGTGCCACGGACATGGATCGGGCCAAGCTGAATCAAGCAATTGCGACCTCACACAAGGGGCTGCGACCGAAGGCCCATGCAGGTTTGCCTGGCTCCTCATTTCCGGTTTGTGAGTTGTAGAAATGTCTCAGAGTATTGGAATTCACCCCAGATGGGCCATCCTGGTATGCCAGTGGCGGCCGGGCTGGGGCTAAATGACATCGGAGTTTGAATTTGGTTGCAGGTTTTGGTGGCACGTTCCGTCATGTTCAGCTGCTTGGCATTTTGCCTCGGTGCCAGCTCCGAGCAGAGGGCAAGGCAAATATGTTGGCATGGGCAGTCGCCTTCATTTTCGGCCAGCCACCAGTGATTGATGATGCTCTAGTCATCGTTAAAAGGCTTCCATTGACCTCAACTATGTTGAGTGAGCCAAACCTCTCGATGGGTGTTGAGCATTGGCCACTTTGTAGGGTGCAGTCGTACGTCCTCTCGAACTGGTGCCAGTTCCTAGCAATGATGGTGTGGCCCAAAGTTCGCAACCACGTTTCCTGTATTTGCAGGCAATAAAAGGTGTGTAGTTCCACAGAGAAGGAGGATGTCCTTCACGTGTACTGTTGCTGTCTCAAGTTGTTTGTTGACTCCAATTGTGATGATGTGGTAGTGATCGCTTGTGCGCGGCTCCCCGCACGCAAATACATGTTTGCTTGCCGAGTGGGAGGCAAGTTCCTCAACGGCAGTGAAAGAAGAGTTATATATGTATAGGCGACACTCACACGTGGGTTTGTGTCTCACTGGAAAATCCTCCCCCTCAAGAAGACCCTCAACAATTAAAGGGATAGGACCTCCACTGGAAGAATTTGGACTTGAAACGGGCCTTTTTGAGGGCCCAAGAAGCTTAGGGCAACCAAAACAGCAGACCTTTGCAGCACAAGTTGCTTAGCAGCTTTGGCGACCTCGGCTTCCTTGCTTCGCAGGCTGGCGGCTTGTGCGGCCGTCTCGCTGCTGCGTGGCACCGCGACAACTCCCATAGCGTTTGCCTGGTTAGTGATTGGTTGGATTTCCTGTGCTTGGTTTGTAGTTTGTGTTGGTTGGTGGTTTGGGGTTGTGTGGCCGGTTGGTGAGTGGGGTCGGGCCGGTTTGGCTTGGCTTGATTCAGCTGTAGGTCACTTCTGTCCGGCAACCAGCGAAATTGGTTGCATCGGTGAAGGAAACGCAGGGGATGTTGTATAGTTGGAAGCCATGACTGATCTCAAAATGATTGACCCCTCAGGTTGTGAGTTTGTGAGTTCCCAACGCTGATGGATCATGTGTGTGTGTGTGTGTGTGTGTGTGTTTGTTTCACGCAAGCCGCTTGGGCGCAATGACCAACCCTTGACTTCCAAAGCCGTTCTGAGAAAGCAATGCACTACGGGTTGTTTCCAAATTCGGAATCCCTCGAAATTGGTGGTGTTCCGTTGGTTTCCCTTTTAGATAACCCCAACAAAGAGTACCTTCAAACAAAACGACAGGCCCTTCCAGGAATCAGAGCGGCGCCAAGGCGATGCGGGCCTGGTCTTGCACGGCGGTCCCGTCTCAGAGGCGAAATCTGGAAATCTGGCTTGACACCCTTTGAGACGCCCTGACAAAATAGGGCGGTCGCCTGATCGAATAAGGATTGCTTGGCCACGGGTTCCTCATAGTAAGGTTTTGGTTTCGGTCCTTGGTTGGCCCTTGCCGTTTGGTGTTGGTTTCAGTTTTGGTTGAGGCGGCTACAAGGAGGCTTCCAAGCGCACTATGTGTGGGTCACGGTCATCCGCCCCTAGCTCTGGTAGCATCACACTGCGCCTTTTAATCGCACAGACACATTGGGAATGCCGGTTTCTGACTGAAGCTGCGTTTTCGCGTGCATGAAGCACGCAGAACTTCTTCGAAGGCGCAAGACGTTTGATCGCGAGTGCACGTGGGCGCGTTGACAGCCGCACCCTTCACTTCTGCTGGGCATCCAACAGCGCAATTGCCTCAGCTGTAGCAAGAAAAGCAAGGGAGCAGCTCTGTTCAACTGTATTTGATGAAGGTGGGAACCACCATGGATGGCTTGGGTGCAATTCCTAGCGGAATTCAGCGCTTCTTTTTCTCAAGTCCTGGGTATGCCTCGGGGTCGTCAAGGTCGTCGATAACCAAAAGCATGAACATTGGTTTGTTGCCGACATGTTGAGCAGTCGAGTGAAAACCGCCGAAATGAAACATACTCACCAGCAGGAGATGGTGCTCTGCAATTTTGTCCTACTGCCTACTGCAGAGAACCCATCTTGCAACTTTGCTATGCTCATCAGCTGAGGAGCCAATCATTATCTAGTAAGGAACATGCTTTGGTGCGGTTTGGGAAGCCGCAAGAGGCACCTCAGAAGTTGCAGCATGAGTCTCGGAGAGATCTAAGAGCTTGGGGATGGACTCCGGATGTTGGATGGCCTATCTGAGGAAAGGTGGCAGCTTGGATTTTGGCACAGCTAGTTCAGGACCATAGCACACTCGAACTTGAACTCAACCTCACCCCTCGGCTGCGCTGCGTCAACTTGGATTCCAACTCGAACTTCGATTCGAAACCCCTTGGCCAGCTCTGAGGCCCCTGCTGCAGTACTCCGAACCTCACTGATGAAGCAAGGGTAGGACATTGGCATTGGCTCCTTTGTTTTCCCAGTTGCCCAGTGGCGCGCCTTGTTCCCTTTTTTTGTGAAAGGTTCCCCTTTGAAGTCAACCAGCCAAAGAAGGATGCCATTTTTCTGCCATGGCCACTGGGCATCTGAGTTTCCCTCGGACGAAACAGATCAACATTTCTTCAGCGCCACTGGAAACAACAGGCATGCGGGCGGCCGCTGGGCATCTGAGTTTCCCTTGGACGAAACAGATCAACATCTCTTCAGCGCCGCTGGAAACGACAGGCATGCGGGCACGCCCGGGCCTGTCGCAGAGCAGTGCTGCGGAGTGCAGAGGCGCGGTCCGGATAAGCTGGTTCACACGGGTGCCCCTCAAGAAACCAACATGAAATTATGTACATTGCCCAACCACCCCCCAACCCTTATCCAGACTCTCACAACAAGAGCAGCTCACCCATGCATAAATCGTTCGTTTTCATTCACCAGTAGAACCAGAAGATGATCCCTTCTATGCGAATGTTTATGTGTCAGGAATTGGGGAGGCCCCCTGTACCGGTGGAATCCTTCTCGTTTGCGAAAGGGGCACCTACTTAAAGGGGCAGAAGACTTAGTGGTTAGGACTCATGTACCCACTTTCCCTGGCAAGTCCCCTTTCAGTGGGTCAAGAGTTCACTTGTCTGAGATACCCGATCCCCCCCTTCAAGTCGGCCACAGGCGCCGCGAAACCGCGCGGGGCCCGCGCCGCGTTTCCGCGCGGTGCCGCTGACGCGCTTCGGCTTCGCCTGCCGCGTGGAGGGAAGCTCCGGAGCCCTCGCCCTTGGCAGTTTCCACGGCGGCGAGTTGGCGCAGCTGGCGGAACTCTTCGAAGAGCACCTCCGAGGAGAGGAAGTGCATCCTATATGGCTCACTTTCCATTGGGAGAGTGGTTTGATGTGGTTTGAGGGTAGTGAAAATCCTGCTAGGATATTGGCAATGAACCTTGATCATTGAAAGTGTACCAACTTCGACTCAGTTTTGCGAAGAAGAGACTGCTGATCTTTTTTCCGCATCCTTTCAAGACGTCCGTTGCACTCTCCTCCTCAGGTATTCCGTTCTCGTCTTCAAGTCTGCCGCGCCCAGTGAAGACGAGCTCATCGCTTTCGCAGGCCGCTGCTTGCACTGTGCACAGTGCGGGTGCGGGTAGGATCTGAAGCTGCAAAAACGACGGCGCTTAGTCCAGAACAGCTGGCCTCAGGAATTGGCACCAATTAGCTACCAGTGGAACTGACGCCAATGAGTTGCAGTATATACCAGTCTTTGTGTCACATTGTCCACTGTCAACAATGCGCATGTGTGTTCTGAATGGTGGTAGGGTGCAAGGATTGCCTGATCACAGTTATGGGATAAAAGTCATTGTTGAGAGTTTGGCCTTGATTTGCGCTGCATCTTCTGAAGCCAAGGCACGAGCTTTTTTCCCAGTACTTCCGTGGCCAAGAGCTCCATTTGCACGTTGAAGAGGCAGATGCTTTAGGCTTTAGGGCTCAAAGACCTTGAGACTTTATCAAGTGATTCGCCTCATGTGGCGACCCATGGGCTGTGCTGGAAGTAAGCTGCCCAAGTAAGCTGCCCAAGTGTCGCAAAGAGGGCTGTTGGAAGGATGCGCATCCCGACATCAAACAGTTCCAGGGATATTGTTGCAATGGGTGCAGCAAAGGATGGGCGTGTGGACCATAGTGTGAAGACCCACAAATGTTGGCGTCCAGAGTGCCAACGTACGAAGCACAGCAATCAAGGTTTGCTGTTGCTGGGCGTGGAAGAATGGCCAGGGTCATGAGCAGACTGAAGACTTGCGGGAAAATAACAATGCAACTTTGGAGAACAAACTGCAAAAACTGGAAGGTCACAACCCCAACCCAAATGTCAATGTCGCAGAGACGGTTGTTGGAAGGATGCGCATCGCACACAGGGCGGGGGGATATTGTTGCGATGGGTGCAGCAAAGGATCGAGCCATGAGACCTGTGCTTTGGTTGATCACAGAGGCACCAAACTTCAGCCCAAGTGGGACCAGTGGGTGATGCTGTGTCGATGCACCACTCATAGGTGACTCACAACCCCAATCTCCACTGCTGGCGGGTTATTCTGATTCTTCTGCAGGTTGCACGGGTTCTGCAGGCGCTGAGGTCGCAAATGGCTTCTTCTCGTAAGTCTGGTCTTTGCCCTGATCATTCTTGCACGCCCAGCCACAGTATCCATGACCTTGATTGCTGTGCTTCATATTTTGGCACTTTGCACTCCAACATGTCATGGTTTTATCGCTGGTGCACACTCCGCACGCCGATCCTTTGCTGCATGTTTGTTGCTCGAGGTGTCTTTTTTGCGCTGCCTGATGCTACAGCTGTCCTGTGAAGCAGTCATCGGTAGGGGCAGTTGTTTACCCGTGCGCGAGCCTGTGTAGAGAACGGTTGAAAAAGGAAGTTTGAGACGTTGCAGACGTTGTTTGCAAGGGAAGAGCCTTTCTGAAGCTTCATCTGGACAAAACATGTTTGGGCAGCATCGTTTCATCGACCTGTTCATGCAAAGCATGTTTGTCTTTCTTCACATGAACATCTAGAATTATGTACTTGGTGTGTAATCAAGTTTCAGATGCGGGGGCCCAGGGCAGCATAGAAGTGTCTGCAAATCTATGTGTAAAGACGTACGTGCGCGCATCCAGGAAGGTCCGTTGCACTTCAGAATGGTGCAACACAGGTGTGGTAGCGCGAGTGTGAAATTCAGGCAGAACGCCTAATCATGTGTGTTCTTTCCAAAGTTGAACATTGAGTCGGCATGTGCAGAAAGCGAATACCGAGCATTTCCTTGTGTTGGTCATTGGTCATGATATTCAACTTGGTGGTGGAGTCCTGGTGATTTGGTTTGCCTCCCCGTGTGTTGGAGGTCCTTCCACACTCTCCGGCAACGACAGCTGGTAGAGGGCGGAGGGACAGGCTCACGGACGGATGGATGGTGTGGTATGGCGTGGTATGGTATGGTTGGATGGATCGACCTGCAGCACTCCCCAAAGCCACAGACAGGACAGCTGTGGGTCTGGAGAAGCACGTGCAAGGTGCCAACTTCAGGATGGGTGTCCACAAAAACGAGTATAAACTGCAAGGACAAGCTTGCCGCGGCAAGGCTTTGCCACCAGGCAGCAGGTAGAGATCAAGCGTTTGGCGGAAATGTTGGTCGGCCTCCGCCTGCTCCTGCAACCTACGACCTCCCAATGGGACACCTGCCCCACTTGACAGGCAAGGCTTGGAAGAGACCTAGGCGTGTTTATTCAAGCATGTCCAACATCTGGTGACACGTACACTAAAGTCACATCCTCAAAGTTTGCCTCGACATGATGAGGGAAACAACTCCCAACCTGATAGTTGGTTCCCCCCCCTGTTAGGTTGGACCCAGTTGGGTTCCATGGGTGGGGAGGGTACATGGCGTGGACTTCAGGCGGCTTCGCCGCATGCTTCCCGGGCGCAGCGCTGGAAGCCTCCGAAACCCCTGCCGGGGGCCGCGGCGCGAGCGGGCGTCTGGTGGGCAACTGGGAGACATGGAATTGCAACCGTTTTGCCGGTCTAGACAAACACATAGACCCACATACTTCGATCCAGCCGGTGGCCTTTTTGCTCAATTTACACATTTTTTGAGTGATCAAGGAAGACAGTTTGCTGCTGAGGTGTGTTACCTACGGTTGGGGCGGTTCTTTTGTGCTGTTTCGCAGGCAAAACGGATCCCTGGTAAACCAACGCATGGACTGCTCCAAAAAAGGGGGCATTCTGAGTTTCTCTCTTTGGGTCGGAGGTGAGGAGGCGGTGGTCGACATGGCAAGCTTTTGGAGGAGGAACTGACAATGAATTTGCACTCAGAGCGATGGCCATAATATGCTTTGCACGGGCAGTGTCCCGTTTGCCTTTTCACCTTTTCAGCTCCAACTTGAGGTATCTTGGGTTGCGAAAAGCATAACTCACTTCATGAGACGTCAGATTCTACCTACTTGACAAGCAACTAGTACTGTCGTGATCTTCCTGCAAAGAGTTCGGCCTCAAGGTAGGGTATTATGTTTCACTGACATTTGCGGGCGTTTGTCATTGACCAGGAACTTTGAGGGCAATATCATGCCATGTTTACGAGTCGAGCCAAGCTCAGCTTGAGACACCAAAGCTGGAAGCGAAGCTTAGGCTTGATCCATGTCAACAAGTGGTGAAGCTTAAGCATGGAGAAATTATGGGAAATTATTGCTTGGCAACGACTTGTCATTCGAGAGTCCAGTCGTCGATTCGGATCTACGCAGATAGAGTTTGAGAGAGAGACACCAGGCACGGTTGCCGGAGGCCCCGTTTCTTATTTCGGTCGCCTCAGCTCTCGCCGTACAGTTTGCCTAGTTTGCATTTAGAGTCCCATAGAGTTGGGATGCGTTCAACCAACGGCGTGGAATATTGGGGTCAAGTTCCTGTATCATGAGAAGACGATTCACCTGATGTCAACATGCAAGTTGCGGGAGCAAGGATATTCGTGCATTTCGCAGTTGCCTTTTTTGGTGTTTGAGGTTAGGGATTCGCAAGTGCTCAGGTAGGATCGCAAATTTCGACATCGCCACAGGCTCCTTGGCAAGATGTCGTGGTGTTGGGCGTCGAAGTTTTGGCAACATGCCCTTCTCATTTGGCCACATATGGCACAGCTCTCCAAGTAGACACTCATTTTGTGTGTTGTGTCACATCCAGACATCAGAACTGGCAACGACGAAGGGAGTTTGCCAAACACCTTTGCTGGGTGAGAGGGAGTACAACAGCCGGTGAGTCACGGCTCACGACATCTCATAACTGAGATACAACATGGGCAGCGCAGCATGCATTGCATCAATGACACTGGCAACACTGTTCGCGTGCAAAGCGGCTGCTGCATGGACTGTGCGCTTTGCCATTTTGCGGCAGTTGGCAATCGAATGGATGATGCTTGGCCTGAAAGTCAAGGGGTAGATTGCCCCAAGCAAAGGATCTGCACCAGAAGGATGATGTCATCCGTTTGCAAGCAACACGAAATCACCACAGCGATCACCTATCCTACCCACAACGCAAAGATCAAAGTTCAATCTACGTTGCAGTGTGTGTTTCAAGAATAGATAGATTCCGATCACTTCAAGCATATCCAGCATGGCCAGCCTCCAGATTGTTTCCATAAGCATCTTGCCCTACACATGTTGGTGTGCACGCATGCGTTGAGGGGTGCCGCACACCGTGGCATGAGGACCAAGGCTGGCGTGGCATCAATGCAACAGCAAGCAAGACAAAGTGTTTCTATTTTGGCTCAACGATTCGCCAAGACCGTCTTCACCAACGGGTTGGACATCATGAGAAAGCCACGCGTCGCATTGGCAGGATGAGTCGACGGGAATGCGGCCTTTTTGCCTCTACGGTTGGTGTATGTGGGTGCATGGGTCACGGAAATCTATCGCCCCTTTGTCACTTTGTGGACCTGGGGTGCCGAGTTGCGCCGGCTTTGTTAAAGGGGATATCCGGAATATCCTCGAATTTTTGACAACCCCTTACGTGGCCTACGTGTTGATACCTGCGCGATTGCAATCGGTGCCAAGGCGAGATCCTGCCCGCCGGCAGCAAGCTGCTGAAGCTGAGATCGGGCAACGGCCTGTGGCACATCGACTCCTCCTTCAAGGCGCGGTGGCGAACTTTTAGAGAGCGAGCCGTTTCACGGGCGCTTGTGCAGAAGGAGGGAGCAAACCCTCCCAGGTGTCAGCTCTTCTTCTTCCAATTTCAAAGTCAGCAACGGAGTTTTCTATTGGGGCCACGTGGTGAACCCCCACCCCCCACTTACCATCTAGCAGTTTGCTTCTTTTGCATCAGTGCGATGCTCGGAGGTCCTGCCAGCGCTGGCATCCCTGATGTGCGGCGTGGTGGTACCGGAGCCAGGACTTCTGAACGGTTGCATCTAAGGTTTGCCGCTTGCCCCCGTAAGGCAAGCTCTGGCCACGGTGTTTGTCATGTTGCCCCTTGCCAGGGTACGCGCGCAAAGGGAAGGCAGCGCAAAGCCTCTTCAGCGAAAGCGTATTTCGGAAACAGCCCTGAGTGAAGCACGACTCGCCATCAAACTTGCTGGCAAAGCAGCAGCAAGCTCGGCGAAGTTGCTATGGCTCCACCATGCGAGCTTGACCAATGTTCTCTCAATCGCTCTCATGACCCGCTCCCATCACAATAGGAGCAAACTGTCCCGGAGTGCTGAGTTTTTGACAAGCACGTCAGCACATGGTTCCTTCTATTTGGTTCTAAGTCGTATAGGCCCACTGACAAGCAAGCTAAACTTGCGACTCGCGGATGCCCCCGGCGCAACAAGTTGGTTGGAACCCTAGAACTCCACAGGCTGAGGAGTTTGAACGATTAGTGCAAGTGCCTTAAGACTGCTTCTTTGTGGGGAAGCTCTGTGCAATTTTAGTAGGGCAAGTACCAGGCCTACCGAAACGAGGGGTGACTTTGGGATTCCAAGGAGATGGCGGGGAGACCGAGTTCGCCTCCTCTCGGGCAGCCTTAGCTGCGTTGCCGGACGACCTGGAACCAGCAGAGCTTAGTCGCCTGATTTG